CCCTGCCTTAGCCTTGCCAGATCCTACAAGACCATTCACTAGATGAAAAAAAGGGGATAGCCAAAGGAGTCTTGACCCAACAGCTAGGTCCCTGGAAGAGACCAGTGGCATATTTTTCCAAGAAATTAGACGCAGTAGCGGCAGGATGGCCCCCCTGCCTCCGCATCATAGCGGCCATTGCCGTGCTGGTAAGAGAAGCCGATAAACTAACCTTTGGACAGGCCCTCTGGGTAACGGCCCCTCACCCGGTGGAGGGAATCCTTAAACAACCCCCTGGGAAATGGATGACGAATGCCAGGCTCACCCACTACCAGGGGCTCTTGTTGGATTCCCCTCGGATCACATTCACAGATCCCGTAATCCTGAACCCTGCCACCTTGTTGCCTAACCCGAAACTGCAGACACCTGTCCATAACTGCAAAGAATTCCTCTCCGAAGTTACACAGGTACGGGCTGACCTAAAGGATACCCCCTGTCCGGCTGCAAATTAAACTGGTACACGGATGGAAGCAGTTTTTTCCAAGATGGAGCCCGAAGGGCAGGGGCAGCTGTAGTCGACCAAGAAGGAAATACGGTATGGAGCAGCGCCCTCCCACCCGGAACATCAGCCCAAAAAGCGGAATTAATTGCCTTGGCAGAGGCCCTGGAGAGGGCAAAAGGAAAGCGAGTCAATATCTACACCGATAGCCGCTATGCTTTCGGTACCATCCATGTCCACGGGGCCATCTATCGCGAAAGAGGATTCCGCACAGCAGAAGGAAAACATCTAAAGAACCTAGCCGAAGTCCAGCGTCTATTAATGGCAGTGGAAAAACCGAAGGCAGTGGCAGTGATGTATGTCCCAGGCCACCAGTCTGCCAAGACGCCGGAAGCTGTCGGTAACAACAGAGCAGATCAAGAAGCAAAGAGAGTAGCAATGGTGAGTCCTCCCATGGAGACAGGGCAACCTTCCACGGTTGCGGCGATAGACGTGCCGGTCCCAGAGCTCCCTCCGCTACCCCCCGACCAGAATACTCCACAGAGGATTTCACTTGGATGAGAGCCCACTCCCCCTTTAGAGAAGGGGAAGACGGATGGAAAAGCGACTTGGAAGGCAAGTTAATTCTGCCTGAAAAACTCGGACGATTCCTGTTGGCTAACTTACATAAGTCCACCCATTTGGGGCGGAGAAAATTACTAGACTTGTTGACATCTGCGCAGCTCCGATTTCCGAACCAGACCATAGCAGTCCGCCAAATTGTGGAAGATTGTGCCAGCTGCACAATCATGAAACCAGGACGAAGGGAGGGGCACCATACAGGTACTCGGGAACGGGGGAGGGCTCCGGGAAGAAGTTGGGAAGTGGATTTTACTGAGGTAAAACCGGGAAAGTTTGGGTACAAATATTTGCTGGTATTCATAGATACCTTTTCAGGCTGGGTGGAGGCTTTTCCTACAAAGAAGGAGACGAGTCAGGTAGTGGCAAAGGCTTTGCTAGAGGAAATCATACCCAGATATGGGGTGCCCGAGGCAATTGGGTCAGATAACGGTCCGGCTTTTGTTAGTAAAGTCCTGCAGGGACTAGCCCAGACTATGGGGGCCAATTGGAAGCTACATTGTGAATATAACCCCCAGAGCTCAGGGCAAGTAGAAAGGATGAATAGGACACTAAAGGAGACTTTAGCCAAATTGGCCCTGGAGACTGGCGGTGATTGGGTGACGCTCCTTCCCTTGGCCATCTTCCGAGTCCGGAACTCCCCTATGTCCATGGGCTAACCCCTTTGAGATCCTGTATGGGGCTCCACCCCCCATCATTCAGAGGACCTTAAGCCCGACTAGGTGATCTGGCCCCAAATTACCTGACCATGTTGCAGGCTTTAGCTAAAGTGCAACAACGGATTTGGCCCTTAATTCAAGCATACCACGCTGTTGAGAGGGTCCCGGCTCCGGAACATGGCATAGTCCCGGGTGACATGGTATGGGTTAAAAGGCATCAGTCCAAAACCCTAGAGCCTAGATGGAAAGGACCTTATGTTGTACTGTTTACTACCCCTACCGCCCTCAAGGTTGATGGCATCGGACCTTGGATCCACCACTCCCACGTGCGTCGAGCCAATCATCAAAAACAAAAGGGGTCAAGGAGTGGACTGTACGGCGGCACCCAGACAACCCATTAAAGCTAAAGCTTTTGTGGCCCCGGGAACATGCAGAGCTTCAGGAGCAGCCACGGATGGGTGGCTGATCGCTCTGATCTTGCTCAATGCCCAGAGCGGGAGCCTCGCAGAAACCAACCCTCACCAGCCCTATAAGCAAACCTGGATACTCACCGATGGGGAGACTCATACCACCCTCAACGAGACTACTCGCACTGCCCCCATAGGAACTTGGTGGCCGGAGCTTCAGTTCTGCTTCAGAGACATCAATCCTGCCTACAAGTCTACTGCCCCGGAGTCAGCCCGACGTTATGGGTTTTATGCCTGCCCCGGCCACAAAAAGAACCAGGAATGTGGGGGGATACAATACTCCTTCTGTAGGTCATGGGCATGTGTCACATCCAATGATAGTGAATGGAAATGGGGGATATCAAAATCAGACCTAGTCAAATTTGCCTTTGTAAATGGGATATTAAGGGGCACAGAATTCCAATACCCACCCATAAATGCCAGCCCACGGATCTAGATAGAATCAAGGTCACTTTCACTGAAACTGGCAAGAAGGACACCCCTGGGTGGATACAAGGTAAGGTATGGGGACTTGTGTTTTATAAATATGGTGGACATGCTGGCTCGACCATAGTGGTCAGATTAAAGATTGAGCCCATAGGGCCACCGTCCACAGCAGTAGGCCCTAATAAGGTACTTAGGCCGCCCAATGTAAAGCCATCTCCCCAACCTTCCACACTCACCACCTTCCCTCAACCATAGCTCGGGCTAATGTTACAACTCCAAGACCATCAGAAACCAGCCCTCCCTGGTGAGACCCAGTCTCATGACCGGATCTAAAGACCCCCTCTGGGACTAGTGGGCTGCATTCCTGACGTTAAACCACACCAACCCTAACATGACTAACTCATGTTGCTTATGTTATGATGTGAGGCCCCCATTCTATGAGGCAATAGGGCTAAACACCACTCACGATACCTCATCTGAGGAAAACCCTACTCAATGTTCCTGGGGAGACCGTAAGAGAGGTCTGACCATACAGCAGGTAAGCGGCCAAGGAACCTGCTTAGGAAAAGTGCCAAAGAACAGACGGGACTTATGTACTGTTATTAACGCCAGTTCTACCTGGGAAAATGCTATTAAATGGGTAATTCCAAAGGACAATGGGTGGTGGCTATGCTCGCGGTCCGGACTCACCCCATGCCTATCAACTAAGGTGTTTAATAGCTCTAAAGAATTCTGTGTTATAGTGGTTGTGCTGCCCCGCATCCTCTATCATTCGGAGGAAAGTCTATATTCATACTGAAATATAAAAACAGGTGAGAAAAAAAGAGAGCCTATTTCTACACTAACCATTGCTACCCTACTTAGCCTAGGGGTGGCTGGGGCAGGGACCGGCATAGACTCCCTGGCTACTCAACATAAAGGGATGTCTTCGCTGCGCGCAGCCATAGACAAAGATATAGAGAGAATAGAAACCTCCATTAGCCACCTAGAAAAATCCCTCACTTCTCTGTCTGAGGTAGTACTTCAAAACCGACGAGGTCTGGACTTGTTGTTCCTCCAAAAAGGGGGACTATGCGTTGCTCTAGGGGAAGAATGTTGTTTTTACGCTGACCATACCGGAGTTGTTCGTGACTCCATGTCTAAACTTCGAAAGAGCCTGGAACAAAGAAAACGAGAAAAAGAGGCCGGGGAAAGCTGGTTCGAGTCTTGGTTTAACCAGTCCCCATGGTTGGCTACCCTTTTATCTGCACTGGCAGGGCCAATAATAATCATCCTATTACTTGTTACCATAGGACCCTGGATTCTAAACCGACTTATGACTTTTGTCAAAAGTCGAATTAAGACTATCCAACTTCTGGTCCTCCGCCAACAATATCAGGCTCTTCATCCCCTTGAGAATGATTCCTCAATTTAGGCCGTAAAAAAAGGGGGGAATGAAAGGAATAGGAGGTCTCAGCAGGCCCCAACCCCCTTGTTGGAGAAACCAGTACCAAACACCCCGTGTAGATAAGATAAGCAATGCGGCAGGGCGTGGTTAGGGCATATAGAATGTGAGGAATGTGAGCAGGAGGTACGTGCAAGATGTGAGGTACGTGCAAGATGTGAGGTACGCGCAAGATGTGCTCTGCCTGCTTGCCCAATGTTGATAATGAAAATATGCATGCCACCGCGGTCTATATAAGATTTCCCCTAAAGAGGCTCAGGGTCGTGTTTTCCTAACCGGTCCTGCGTGTCCGTGTGGGAGCTCGACCCTGGCTAGCCAGCCCAATAAACTCTGCTTTGTTGATTGCATTCACGCCTGGCTCTCTGTCTCTCGGGGGAATAGGATTCCGGGTCCTAACACTAACAATTCAATTTTTTGTTCTAGCTGTCATGGTTTCATTTTAACTATTTCTAGGAAATCATTTGGAGTGGTAGCTTAATTTTAATTCTAGAAAGGAATTTTCTCAAGGAATAGTTTAAGATTTTTATTTCAATGTTTATGGAATTACTTATGCACTTTTTCGATGGAAGGTTCTTAAACAAATCTTTTGTTTTGCTTCAGTGATATAGAGCAATGTGCTTTAAACTGCTGTCTGTCATCTGCCACCTGGGAGAATTATGTAAAAAGTGCAGCTTCTTGGGCCCCATGCTGAATAATGCTCTTGGGTCATAGCCCAGGAGGTAGTTCCTACAATCTTCATGGCCGATTCCAAGGCATCCCATGTTTAGGAAACACTCCTTCATATTTTAGACTTGGAATGTTTACAAAATGACAAAGAGGTGAACATGTAATCTTTCAAATTTAGACTTTAAGGATTAGCCCTTGAGTTTCTTAATGACAGTCAGTTCCTTTTTCCTGATTCTGGGGACTGGTACAGAAATGGGAAACAAAGCAGACAAGGAAAAATGATTTCTTTATATACATTTTGTTTTAATAGCCACCAAACAGACTTTTGTTTCCTTTCACCCACCCTGTCCACAAGTTGGCCTTCAACATAAGGTTACAGCATCATATATAAATCTGTATCATACATTTTATACACAAATTCCCACTTCCTATAAGCACTGTGAAGACAGACCAAGCTGCAGTACACCCCTGGACCATGCCACATCACTGAAACGTGAGCACAGAACTGCTGTATGCTAGACTTTCAGTAAGCGTGGTCTGGCCATCAATCCCCAGTTTCCCTGAGGGAAGTAAGGATGACAAAATGGCACAGTGTATTTGGGGAGAAGGGTCAGTGCAATTTGGACATTGCATAAGAAAAGAAACAGAATCTGCTAGGCTAAGCATGAGAGGGCATCAGCAAGTCACCACATGCAACACATGGGGCTGGCTTGGGTCAGGTGGAGATCTGTGAGTGCTGCTCGCTGAGCCCCTGACACTGTCCAGCAGGGAAATGCTGCTCAGTAGTGCAGTAGTGTGCTTCTACAAGTGCCCAAGGAGCTTCAGCATGGGGACCACATGCCCACTCATAGAAGGCAGGGCCCTATTTCCCCTGAGTTGACCATTTAAGGACAGCTGCTGAGGTGAAAAATGGGCTTTGGCAGGTGCCAAGCCACAGAGGCTGTTTAAAGCAGTGTCACAAGGTTTTCTACGCAATCCACATGTGTTTTGCTTAGTCCTAGGCCAAGTGAATGTTGGCTAATAGTATTCCATCACTGGCAGGAAGTCATCCTGCCTTTCTGCCTGACCCACCAGGACACATCTCTAATCCCTTCTTCTGGACCTCCAGCACTTTGGAGGGGTGGGCCAGATGCTCCTCAGCAGATAGGGAGCTGTGCAAGAGGTGGGCAGGCCCAGCCTTTCTGTTGTTTTAAGGACTTCTGGCTTCGTTTCTTGTGTGGCTCCTGGAAGGCAAGGGTCACAAGGCTGGAGTGCACAGCAGAGCCCTTAAGGATTTCACCTGCAGGCAAAAAGAAGACAAAGCTATTCAGAGTGAGTTGTCAGACCTGTTGCTGCAGCCTGAGGCCAGAGAGAAGCATGCTAGAAGCCAGGAGTGTAGGAAAACTGGTTAGGAAAATGAGCTATGGATGTGCTGGGTCTGGAGTAGCCAAAGAAGCCCCAGCTTAGAGAAAAGCCTCCCTGTGCACCAGGACTCCTGCTGCTCAGCTACAGCACACTCCCCCTTCAGGGACCAATTCATGCTCCAGGTCAGATAGTCTAAAGCAGAAAAAAGAAGTCCTTTTCCATCTTCCAAGAGAAGTGCTGAGCAGGAAATATGCACATATGGAAACAGCCTGCTCTAGGAAGGAGAGGCCCTTTGTGTGAGTCCCCTGGTTAGGTTCTGGCCCAGTTATGGTAAGGAGGGACAGACAAATCAGTAGGGGCCTCAGAGATCTTCTTAGTTTAATTTCACTTTTACATATGTGGGGGCAGCTAGCTCACAGAGACCAAGGGCCAGCCAAAGCCACTCGAACTGCCAGCAACAGGCTGCAGTTAGAGCCAAGGTGAAGGGAAGTAGGAGGGAAGCTTGCACACTGAGGAGCTGTGGTACCTTTGCGGGGACAGGAATAAGGCTGCACAGAGGCAATCTGGTGAGTGTTGTGCTAAAGAGGCTCAGGAAAGAAAGGAGTCATCAGAGGAGAAACAAAGGGAATTAGAAAAATGAGGGTGAGGTCAATCACATCCCAACCCATGTCCCTCAGGGCTTAACTTTCTCACAGGTTACAATGGAGGGACCTTTCTAGAAAAAGGCTCAACTGCTCTGGCAAAGTTTAAAGTCTAATATTAAAGGTTTAGCTTCTGATCTTTAAGCTACAACCAACACATTAAGTCTTCAACATACTTCCTAGGAAATGAGTAGCACTTTAAGTAAATTTAAAGAAGTCTGCATAGATAAAATGTATTTTCCCCTAAGGTTCAGTATTTATTTAGTATTAAAAGTTTCTCAGATCAATGAGACCAAGCATTCATTATATTCTTTAAAGGAAAAGATGGATCAAAATTGAACTGCTGTTCTCAACCCCACAGTGTGGCAATGAAATCAGTTTAAAATGTTGCACCTTACTTTTATTTTTCATGGAGTTTAGGAAACTCCAGAATGTGTAGCTGATCTCTTTACAGACAGGCAGTGAATGTCAAGAACCAACTGAATTGCTTTTCCCCAAGTGTCTCACTTGATGTAAAGGAGGGGAAGTTGGGGTATAAGGGAGGCATGAGAACAAGGTGAGGGTAAACACAGAGATCAGGGAGGGAGGTGAGGGAAGGTGACTGAGGGGATGGAAACTAGGAGGAGGCTCACTGAGAAACAAGAGGACCAGGAACCTCCTCCAAGAAGGACTGAACAGGTCAGAGTCACTCTCAGATCTGAAGGGCTGGGGGCAGGCCCTGTGGCTCTGGGGTACAGTGGTTTCTTACCTCCAAATTAGTCCTTGCCTTCTTCAATACATCATGGGTCCTGGTCACTGAAACAATAAAACAGCCCCCAAAGCAGAAATTAAGAGCTGGCCCCTACTTGCCTGACGTGTATTCTATAGCATTCCCTCCTGGCCACTCAGTTTAGGGTCTCTGGCCCCATCCTACCTCCCTCTGTGCCCACAATTTCTGATAGCACAAGGGGGTTTGGGCCACTACATTAGTCTCTCTATTCCAATGTCCCTGAGCCTCTGTGGTCACTGTTCATCTGCCACACAAGTGAAGTGTCTGGAAGACCCCTGTTCCTGAGGTTTCCCAGCCCCATGGCACCTACGCTGGCTGACAATGAATTGCTCCATGCTCTCCTTCTGCTGGTTGGCAGTCTTCAGGCGCTCAGCTGTGTTCTGAAGGGCCCTTTCCTGTTTGGATACTTGGGCTCGCAGTTCCTGGAGTTCCCTTTCCATTGACTCTCCCTGGGGAAGAGGGACAGACTTTCAGACAATGGTCAGAAGATTGAATACACCATGCTTTGTGGCTCTTTATAGACAAAACTCCACAATCTTCTCTCCACTCACTCTCTGGACTACGTCCCCTCTGTTAAAGCCTCCCAACTCACCAGCTGAGGATGAGGCCACTAAGAACCTGAAAGTCTTCAAGCAGACCAGCACAGGCCTTTACTCCTGTTGTCAAAGAGACCTTGGCTGCAGACCAGTATGAAACTCCCAACTGAAAACTAGAGCTTTATGTAGGCCTCTTGTTGTTTCTTGGGTTTGTTGTTATTTGGTTGGTTTTTTGTTTGCTTATATGTTTGTTTTTTTCTGTAGTACTAGGGTTTGAACTCAGGGTCTCTCACACTTGCTAGGCAGGTGCTATACCAGTTGAGAAACTCCACCAGCCCTTGATCTTATATTATTTCTGTCATTCTCCCATTACAGGTGAGGTTTGGGGCTTTAGGAATTTTATGTCTGGGGAGCCAAGGCAGGCTGAAGAACAGGGTACAAATTTGCAAATGTCTATGCCAACATGAAAATGCTAAAGCACCTCCCTGGAATTAGCATAGTTGGGTCCCAAAAGATCTCAGCAAAGTTCATCTGAGGTTGGGATCCTGGTGAGGAAATCCTGAGATGCGCTTACCCAAAAGTCTGCCAATCAGAGCCAGCCTGAGATCCAATGGACACTGAGGGGAGACTGACTTTCCCCAGGTCTGGCCCAGAGATGCAAACTTAAAGATGTATTGGGTGGCTAAAGGAGGCTTGCTGGTTCATGGTGACATGTTGTGGTCTTTGGCCTGGCTGGACTTGAGGGGTGGAGAAGGGGTGTCCAGCTCAATCTTCAAGAGTTTCAGGAACTGGACATTTATGGGGTTAGCACTGATTTTGCCTCTGCTTCTCTGTTTCCTTTCCTTCTCCTCTTTGATTTCTTATCCTGGGGGCTGGGTGTCAAGGGAGAAGGGATACAATGAAAGCAACCAGCACGGATTAGGAGGTTTTCCTCAAATGCTCCCCTATGGTCCTATCCATCTCAAGTCACCATGTGGCTCCTGACCATTAGGAAAGCTGTAGGTTGAGGAGACACCGTCCTGGGAGAGCACAGCTGGGTTTGAACCAGTAGAAGACATGTTCTCTTACTGCTTTTCCCAGTAGTGCAGGACCTCGGGAGCTTGGCAAGGCTGCTCGCCAGAACATGGTGAGGAGGGATGCTGACTCCTCTAGGGTGTGGTTCAGGTCAGTGGCACTGCTCCGCAGCTCATGGACACCTGTGCTGCCCAGCACCTGCAGAAGGGGTTAGGTGGTCAAGGATATGACTAGAGCTGAGACATCACAGCTTACCCTGAGCACCTTGAGAATACTTCATGAGTGAGGCACAGAGCATTGGCCTGCATGAAACCCAGGCTTATTCCTTTGAAGACCAGGATGAAGGGCTTCTCGGTTGCCTGAAATACCTCTACCAACTAGATACCCTATAAAGCTTTCAAAACTCATCCCTGTGTTATACTCTCTGTGGGCTCTGTACCTTCCTTGCCTGTAATGAAAGCCCAGAGGATGACACAGTGCCTGGGTACCCTTATTTTACTTATTGACTAGGACCTGTCAATAAGTAAATAAGTAAATAAGTCTTGCGCTCAGTTGGCAGGCTCCTTAGGGGCAGGACCATAGATCTCCAGTGGCTGAGATACTGCAGCCACTGATGCCTGCACCTGGTAACAGCGAAGAGCTCTGAGAAGTTTGCTGACTGCTTCCCTTGCCCAAGGCTGCTAGGCTTCTTACCCTTGCCACACAAGGTCCATACAGATGCTAAGCCTCAGTGTCTGCCAACTGGATTGATTTTAATCTGCCCACAGTTTGCTGAGTGCCCACGTGACTGTAGCGGATAAAAAGCTACTGATGGGCACTCAGCAATGTGCCATATGGATGTTGACACTTAACAGAGAGCTGTTGACTATGATGACAACGCCTCCCAGGCTCCTCTATGGTTCTGAGGGAAACTACTTTATCTGCAGCCTTATCTGCAGCAGAGTAGAACATACATTGGAAATAAGAGGGAGAAGAAGGGGCCTGGATACAGCAAATGGAAAGTTCTTCCTCAGCTGTTGGCAGATGTGGAACATGAGAATCATATTGGGAGAATGAACTAAGTCAGAGGAAGGCTGTGACATGGTTACCTCTGTGCACTGAGCTTTGTGGCCAGGGAAGTTGCATGCTGGTATTATGAGAGACAGAATCTTTTGGACCAGCAGTTTGCCCTCTCCAATCTGCTGTCTTAGAGCACAGTAGTCATCAACGTGGCCAATGACATGGCGGCCATGCTTGTTTGCAAAGGAGCCATCTGTAGCATCACCCTCCAGCGTGGGAGAGTTCTTTGTCAGCTCTAAAAAGGAAAGCATATCAAAATAGGACCCCTGTATTCACAATGACATCCTCAGTGACTCAAATACAAAAGGACAGTGGAAGAGGCCAGGAACAAGAAAGACAGCCATCAAGAATGCAGTGTGGGTAAAGTCCAAAGAGATATTATGAGCACTCTGTTTATAATCTTCCTTATATCACTTCATAATGATAAACTTGAAAAAAGAAGACAAATTCTATCCTTATCAAAAAGTGAAATATTCAGGACAAATGTTATTAATAAATGATAGGTTTCTGGGTAAAAAAGACAGACAAGAAAATCAACTGGACACAGATAATACATCAAAAACAGAGAGATTATAAAGCACTGAAACAAAAACAGAGCAGTAAAAAAAGTGTAGAAAGAATAATAAGAAAGACAGTCAAAGGAAAAATGAGTAGGGCTTTGATGCACACAGACTTAGAAAAAAATCTCTAAATTCAGATAATCCTTTTATAGGGCATCAAAGTTGTTTGTATTCTTAATTTTCTATTTTTGTCTCTGAGCCCTTTTGTTGCCATACTTACCATTTGTCCTGGCGACAATGGCAGAGTCTGAGGCAGGAGCAGGACAAGAGGAGCTAGTGAGGACCAGAGCCGGGGCACTCATGCCAACATCCCGGACGGGAGGGGAAGCAGCTGGATCCAGGGAGAAAGGACAATTACAAATTTCAGATCCCTTGGAGCACACTTCACACCAAGCTCAAGACACATGCACAGCCCAAGATCTAAGGCAGCTGACTCTCCTAACATTATTGGCATCCAGATGCCACAATGAAAATCAAGAGCCAACAAATCACTTGGTTTGATATTCAGAACAAAAAGGTATTTCTTTAACTGAGGAGTACTCAAAGACAATGCAACTTCTAATTGAAAAACTTGTTAGGTATAACTTTATAAATCCAATTTTGAGTGTAAATTTTGTATGTGGTATCTACAACAATGCCTTGTAATGAAATGTAAGTATGCATAAATGTATACAGACTATATGTTAAAATGTTGAGCAAGGGCTAGGGATGTAGCTCAGTGATAGATTGACTGCTTATATGCTTGAGCTCTGGGTTTCATCCCCAGCACCATGGACACACACAAAAGTTATTGAAGAATGAATGGGTTCATGAGGGATTAAATGCAACATTCCAGTCACCATTCTGCTGATTAGTATTAGAAAAAAATTCAAGTGAGAATAGGAAGCAGAAGGCTTAGTGGCTTAAAGGTATCCTATTGGAGATTAGGAAGCAGTCCAACTGTGGAAAAATCAGAAGGTATTACAAAGACAGAAAGGTGCTGCTCAGACAACTGTGGTGCAGAGCTTGCTTTCTAGCTCAGGTCTCTGCGTGTGGGAGCTGGAGGAGCAGGGTCTGAGCCATGGGGCGGCATCTTGGCTGGGGTATAGGAAGCCAGTGAGAGGGGAAAGCCTGGTTAGTGGGAAGAGGAGGCAGGACTCAACACACAGCCCCAGAGAGGCAAGACAGCAATGTATGCTAAGCACTTCCTGTGTTCAAGCACTATGCTTTGCAATCCTAGATATTTCATATTATTTAATGGCCACAACAACAAGGTCATGTGATTGTCACTTTCACTTGACAGTTAGGTCATCTGATAAATGAGTTTACAACACAACAAGAGAAAGTAATGATTAAAATAAGGTGTCAGATATGAGAGTTTGAAAGGTTAGTGGTTCCTGATTAGAATAAAATTAAGGACACAGCCTTGGAGGTGAGTGGAGAGGGTGGATTAAATGGTGCCTCAAAGGGAAAAACAGAAGAGAAAGACCTGGTTGAATGTATCCAGAGACTAGGGGATAGGGGTCCCATTAACCTTAAGTTTAAAATAGAGGAAGTGAGGTTGACACTGGACGTTGAGGAGGGAGAGAGAGATCTGGTTGATATGCTTATATGAAGAGATAGACAAGTACAGGAAATGCAAATCAAAACTACACTGAGACTGAGATTCCATCTCACCATAGTCAGTACGGCAATCATCAAGAAAACAAATAACAAACACTGTGGAGGATGATGGGGGAAAGAACATACACCACTGGTAGGAATGTAAACTAGTGAAACTGCTATGGAAATCAGTATGGAGGCTCCTCAAAAAACTAAAAATAGACCCACCTTATGATCCTGCTATACCATTCTTGGGCACATATCTAAAGGAATGTAAATCAACAAACAAGACAGATACCTGCGCACCCATGTTTACCACATCACCATTCACGATTGCCAAGCTGTAGAATCAGCCCATGTGCCCAACAACCAATGAATGAAGGAAATGTGGTGTATATATACACAGTAGAGTATTATTCAGACATAAAGAAGAATGAAATTACGTCATTTACAGGAAAACAGATGGAACTAGAGAACATCATGTTAAGCAAGATAAGCCATGCTCAAAAAGCCAAACATCTCATGTCTTCATTCACATGTGGAAACTAGACCTAAAATGATGGCAGTTATGATGATAGTGATGATGACGATGATGATAATATGATAATGAGACATGACTATAAAAGGGGAACTGTCTGGGAGGATCAATGGGAGGGAATGGGTAAAAGGAGAGATACTGGGGATGAAGAGGATCCAAGTATGTTACATATACACATATGAAGATAGCATAATGAAACTCACCAAACATTGTTTAAAAAGGAGGGAGAATGTGGGGTTGTTGGGGCTCTAATAGAGTAGTGAACTCATTCAAAGTGCACTTGTATGCATGTATGGAATTACCACAAGACCCCCTTGTACTAGTAACGTATGCTAATAAAATATTATTGAGAGAGAGAGAGAGAAGAGGATGGGGAAAAGTGGAGGTCTGTCACCAAAATTAACATGCTGCTGCCCAATACTTTCCCCAAATCCCTGGCTTCCTCAGGGACAGGAGCATTTTGCCATATGCTAAGCTCCCCCCCATGTGAGGGAAAGGGAAGCCAGACTAGAAAGTCTGGGAAGGACAGTGATACTGAGACAGATAACAGACTGCACATTGAAGCATCTATTCCTAACCTAATCCTGGTTCTACATTTTACCCTGTAACCCTCACTTGTCTGTCTCAGTGCCTCAGTTTTCTTGTGTGAAATGCAGACATAGAGAAAATGTCCCCACTCGATGGAATTGTATAATGAATTGTATAATGAAAACACTTGGTAAATGTTAAAGCACTACACAAATATAAGGGATAGATATTAAAATTCATAGCTATTAATGGTTGAGCAATTCTTATTATTCTAGTTACTTGATACTTAATGTTCCAAAAAAACCATACAAGGTATATACCTTGTATATATTTTTTATCATTCCCATGTCCAGGTTGAAAAAACTAAGGCTTACAAAGTTTAAGTACTTTGCCCAAAGCAAATAATCTGTAAGTGTCAAACTCTGAATCTGGTGACAGATCTGGCCCTGCATCCCACATTCCCACTCAGGAAGCCATATTAAAGCTTCTCCAATTTCACCCTGACCCTATGGAGCATGGGAGAGGCAAGAATGCCTATCCATTGCAGACACCCTGGAGGTTCACACACACACACACCTCAGCTGAGGGCTTCCTTAATTCCTTTTCCTTCCTACCTTGGAAGAATGATTGTGTGTTTCCAGGGTCAATGTTAGCTGGGAAGTTCTGGCTGATGGAAGAAGGATTGAGGCTACCTTTGACAACACCACCATCCAACTGGTGCTCCAGCTGCAGCCGCAGACAGTTGTTCACCTGAATGCTCTGTTCCAGCTGCCCTCTTAGAGCTCGAATCTCTGCTACCAGGTGACTCAAGTCACTGCTCAAAGGGACTTGGTGACAGGCATCCAGGCTGAAAGCTGCAAGAAGAGAGAGGAGGGGTCTGGTAGCACTGATCCAAAAATTTTCAAGCACTTGAGAGGACATTGCTCTGTGACTTTCCTTCTTGCCAAGGACCACACTGTAGTCTTAGGTACCTGGGTAACACATCTGGGATAGAAATGGAAGCTTTCTTGTGTGGCACCTGGGGCACACTGAGGTGACCCATATTCAGTCTGGAATTTCCCTTAGGTTCAAACTACCCCCCTAGGTGCATCAAATGCACTAAGATCGCATTTGATTGGCAGATAGTCACAAGCCTATTATTTCATCTCCATATTAACCTTAGATTTGTAAGTGCCCTCCAAGGCAGAAAGTGAGCATTGAACTAGAGAAAGGTAAGGTCTGAGGGAGAAGGACATTTGAAGAACTCCAAAATCAGAAATCAGAAAGGAAAAGGAGGAATATGTCAGGACTTTTGGTAATATGTAAGAATGAGGGTCAGACACCTTAGACGTCTAATTAAGTGAATTTTTCAACTTGCCCATGATTTTTATCTCCACTTGCCATACATATTTTTATATACTAGGGTAAGGAGACCTGATAAATTTTATACAAGGATACATCCCTAACCTGAAAACTTTAAAGCCAAATGCGTTTTGAAAGGAAAAAATAGTTTTTGTTTTTAGCAAGGCAATAGGGTGCAAATTCCACCTAAACCTTATATTACTTGAGCCCTTGTGCATCTGGTCCTCAGCCCTTAACTCAATGCATGATTATATCTGCCACAAGCTGTGTGAATATTCTCACTAAGATAAATAAAGATATGAATATCCTTTTATCACTTCAGATAGGCTTTGTCACCAAATGAGCATATGAAAAAAGTTTCAATTATTGTATTTTGGAATTACAAATAAGGGATTATGAACCTCCTAGTGGTAGTAAATGTGAAATGAATCCTAAAAGACCTGTGAACAGGGAGAGCATTGGGAAAGGGGGAGTGATTCAAGATGATGTGGCTTCAGAGACTAATCCCAAAGTTTCACATTATTCCCTCTCTTTCTTTCCCAAGATTCGAATTCTTGCTAAGTTTTATTTTTTATTGTTTTTTTTTTAAATCTATTCATCATCCATTCTCCTTTACTTCCTATCTGCACCTAGAAAATCATTATACTCATCTAATAGATTTCCCAGATTCTGATGTCTCTCAACTCTAGTATGTTCCACCAGACTTAACATCTTAAAATTCTGTTTTCAGTCACCTGGTACTTGCCATAGGCTGTGTTTTTACAGTGACTGTACAGAAAGAGGAGGCAAAATAAACCAAGCTGTATATACCTCAGCCCAGGCCCTATGCCTAGTCTTAGTATGAGTAGGGAGACATGGGTTTTGGGGGTGAAATTCTGGTTTCATCATAAACTTATTTTTCTTGACAATTGATTTTTTTGTCTTTTTCTTTTACTTTGTTTTTTTTGGTGTTGGGATCAAATCCAGGTCCTTGGGCAGGCTAGGCAAGCACTCTACCACTGAGCTATATCCTAGCCCTTGAAAGTGGAGTTTTAGCCTGACTTGTAAAGGCTTTCTATATACTGACAATTGTCCTTCCCACTAACACAACTTCTCACTCCTCCACTGCCAAGCTTCTCCTAGAAGCAGGCTGCTTTCTTCACTGACCTGATACTCCCCATAGCTTTGTATATTAGCCATACTCACAACTTGGTGAGCCCCTATACTTTAAGTTCTAATTTATTTTCTGTTTAACACAGTTGGAAACTAGATCCAGTTTTAAGAAAATTCAGGTTTTCCCTCTGCCACTTGCCCTTTGTTCAATATCTGGAGGGTCAGAAAACACATCAGTTCTTTTTCTTCACCTGATAGTTCTTCAAAGAAGCCAATTCTCATCAACTCGTGATTTTTTCAAAGCCCAAGATGTTTTAGTTTCTTTAGTCATTAAGATTTCTGGTTAAACAACACTGTGATCTCTGTCTTCTTGTGTCTCCTAGTATACCATAGTCCATTTTCAAGATGGTGCCCACAGTCTAACTGTACGTCAGACATTGTCTCACCATATGGAACACTACTGTGTTCTCAGGTTGAGATGGCTTTTCAGTAACCCTTTGCCTGTAGGCTTCCTTGTGTAAAAATGTTTCTACCAAGCTCCCCTACCCTCAAACCCAGCCCTTCCCATTCTGTACTTCTACCATTGGTATTCTGAATCAAGCTCATGATTTTATTTTTTTTCTTAGCTAAATTTCATTACATTGATGTCAGCCCTCTGTTACAACCTGCCGTGACTTATTAATATTATGTTTCAATACCCTTCTCCATCTGAAGAATAGGGAAACGTATCAAGATTCTCAAATACTAGATTATCATTTCATCAGGTACCAAAAATCCTCAATAAAAGTACCTAATGTGTAAAACCAGGCTTAAAACCTAATTGCTATCAGCAGTATTTTACAAAGCATTTTTTTCTATTGTTTGTTATATTTTGAGTCTCTTAAGTTTCCCACTGGGTAAAAGGTTAAGGTGGAAGTAGGCTGCCTGCTCTATGGATTACATGGCAGTCATCATATATTATTTACAATATTTAGGAGGTTTTCAAATGATGATTGCACTAGGACAGTTCTTGGCATTTAAACAAAAACATGGTTTAATCTAGCCATTGATTAATTTGTTTCTGGCCACTGAAGCAGGTAGTTTAATTCTTGAGGCCTGTTGTTAAGGCACCCAGCCTGGATCTCACCAATGTCTCTAGCACTTCACCCTTGAGGTTTATGCAGGAGGGCAGAGGGAATACATACCTTTCAGGCCCTGCTTAGGATTTCCATGCAGTGCCTCGTAGATCTGTAGCTCCGACTGCAGGGACTTGAAGAGCTGTTGTTTCTCTTCACACTGTTGCTGCAGGAGGGCTAGCTTCTGCTGCAGCCTGCCAGGGAGAGGCAGGACCTACTGAGCTTGCAGGGACACGTGGCCACACCAGGGCAATAAGCTGTGAGCCAACCTTCATCTCACAGAGTCATAGCCTCAGATGCCAAAATGGGGGTCAGGAAGATCATAGCTTTCACTTTGCAGGTAAGAAAGCAAAGTGGGTGACAGGTGCAGTCACTCAGCACCAAGTCTTAGCATTGACTGTGTCAGCTAGGAGCAGCACAGACACCTCAGCATCTTCCTCACCCTACCCCTAGTGCTCTTCCTAATGACAGGGAGAACACTGTAGTAGGGCTTGTGTGAAGGGCAAGCACCGCTCAAGCCGTGCTGGGGAATCAGCTTCCAGTTTTGGTGACAAGTAACTGGAAGCATGGGAAGGTTCTCTCTTCACTCTCTAATATTTGGAAGCCCTTCATAAGGGAGTTTCACTTCTCCACTATGGAGTGCAAAAAGCATCCCCAGAGAATTTCTTCCTTTCCTCAAAGTCACCCATGAAGCAGGAATACCAGAGGAGACACTGAGGTTTCCACAAGAGGACACTCCTGTCTGGACAACATCCCTTCTTCTAAATCTGAAAATGGGTTTCCTTCCCTCTCACCTGGAGTCATTCTCCTGGAGAGACAGACGCTCCTCCCTGAAATGCAAGATCTCCTGCTGCTTCTCCTGCAAGTCTCCCAACAGCTGCTGCTGAGTCACTTTCTGCTGCTCTAGCTCCTTCTCCAGCTCTTGAAGGTGGGATTGAGAGGAGAGCAGAGCCTCCCTCAGGCATTCGGTTTCCTGGGAGTGTCCTGGTGGGCAGACATGGTATTTATGGTATGGGGCCAAATCTCAGTAAGTAGAGAACCCATCATACCTGTCCTGACAAATGGAACCCAGAAAAGCGACAGGAAGGCTCCAAGTTTCCAGGCAAACAGTTTAGCTCACTGTGCTCACACATGCAGGGGAACGGTACCCCTCTGTCTTTATAGTGCACCAAGCCTCTGATTTACAATGAGTTTCTTCACTCTTAGAGATAGTCTAAATCAAACCATTTTTTAGCATTCACATACCATCTACTCAATAATCCTTTTTTTTGCCAAAGATCAATATCAAAGATTTCTTATGTGTGGTTTTAGGATATATTATTTTCATCATTTTGAAAATTGGGACATTTTTATTTCTAGGCTGTTGACATCTCTCCTGATCACAAATTCTCAAAGATGATCAACAGGGACATTGAGTGTAAGGCTCCAGGTCCAGGCAGTCCTCTCTTGGCAGAATTCACCTGGGCCTGACAAACTGTACTCATTTAATCTCTTCCTAGCTTTTCTCATGTAAGGTCTGTTCAATTCTTTCCAAGCATGCAATGGTGGTTTCATCCCTCTGCCTTCTCTCTTACCTATTAGCTTTTGTTACCTTCCCCAGCTAGGGAACTTTGCTCTCAAATCTTCTTGCATTTAAATAGAAAATTTAGAAATATCTCTTGATGTAACTTGTCTACACAAGCATCCCTTCATTTTAGGTTTCATTCTTTCCAATACTATTCTTAGCCTTTAATTGGTGTTCAGCAAATATTTTAAATAAAAATAATTTGTTATGCTCATACATTATTTGATCAAGTCAATTGAAACTAAAGTCAGCTGCCTCCAAGGCCACATGGGAAATTATTCTCATCAAACAGGATTGGGAAAGTTCTGGAGGACATTTGACAGCACCTCTGGACATGGAGTCAAAAGAGTACTGACCAGAGAGCAGCCCAAGTGAGGGGGTGTGGTGAGGAGGCACAGGGATGGCAGGGTAGGACTAGGAGGGACACACAGAAATGCAGTACAGTATGAAATACTGTACGTATGAGAGGGAATATAGGCACATCCTTTCCTTCCCTTCATGAATGGGTGGAGGTAGAACAGATTCCATCCAGTCTGCCAGCAAGGGAGTTTGGATACATGCAGGTGAGCTTCACAAAAGCAATTGCACTCCCTAGAGCCATTCTAAAAATCTGAGGGCCATGGTTGGGACCTTTTAGGAAGGAGCCCTTCATAGACCAAGAATAGCTATGAAAATCTTGGGTTGGTGGAGCTGGGTAGCTTCACCTTCTCTTTGCTACCCAATTGGTGATTGGTGTGACCAGGGAAGAAGTAAACCTAGAAGTGACCACAGTTTGTAATTTTTGATCACCCACCTCTGGAAATGTGATTCAGCTGAGCCTGAAGGGTCTGGTTTTCTTCCTTGAGGACTCTGTTCTCATTGTAGAGCTGAGGCATGGACTCCAGGCCCTGACCGCAGAAGTGAGAGCTGGATCCTGTCCCAGAAAATACACATTTGGGTAACAGATGATTTTGTAAGCTTTCCATTCTTTATTTCCACAAAATCTTCTGTCCCAATCCAGCAGAAGTCCTGGACTCAAAGCTTGAGACTAACTAAAGCCCAGTGGGCCAAATGTCAGGCTTTAACAGCCTCCTCTCAGTAGATTATTTTCACACAACTTTCTCAAGCCATAGGTGTAACTGTGGTAGAGGCATTTTCTCCCTAACTAGCTGCTGCTGCTGTGTGAAAGGGTGACCACGTGAGTGTGGAAAGGATGGCCTCCAAATGACAACAGTTGGTGGGGGGCAAAGGGAGGAGAAAGCCCACCTCTGTGAAGTGGCTGGGGGAGGATCCTTGCAGACCTGGGTCTACCACTTGCCAATCACAGGACACAGAGAATCAGCAGGCAGTGTGTAAGCAGATTAAGGATGAGGTGAAAAATCAGGAGACTTTGGGGACTAGGCCTACTTCTGCCTTGAGGAAAGTTACTCTCTAAGCTCAGATAAGTTCATGAAGCAGGAATAACCTGGTCCACCTCCCTGCCCTCTTCTATAAGGAGCAAGTGAGGTAGAGCATACCAAAGTGCTTTGAACAACATGAAACTCTGCCTAAGGGCCTTCCCTTCAGAATCTCCCCAAATATAGCCAGAAACCCGAGGAGCCAGGGCTTCCCCTACCACTTCCGTGGGCAGTGGAGCTGAGACGGTGTTGCAGCTGCTCTCTTAACCGGTCATTGACACAGATGGACTCCTCCAGGCGCTGGCGCAGATTTCGGATTTCACCAAGGTGCTCTTCCAGCAGGTCAGCCCCTGAAGTCATCCCAGGACACAGAGAGAAGTGGGAAAGAGAGTACTGGTTACTGAGGGTTGGGGAGCAAGGAGGGAATCTGGGCCAGTGGCCTCTCAGCATGATCCCTAAACATCACCATCCTTCTGCTGAGTTTCTTCACATGGGCTTCCAGGAGACATAGAGAACTTTGTAGGAGAGATGCTACTGACAGACTACATCAGCTCACCATCTTGCTTTAGGCTCAGTCTTTTTCTGAAAATCACAATTGTCTCACTGTTAGAAGTGAGCTGCATTCCAACATATGTCTGCTTAGCTATACCCCTCCACCTGCTGGAATTGGGTTTTGTGCACAGGACATTTGTGTGAGGTGAGGGAGCTATGTCCCATTCTATAAAGAAAGTCCCTATGAATGTCTATGCCTGGACTTCTTAGAAGGGTCTAAGAGAGTTGTCTGTGAGGAAGTCAGGGAGAGAGGGACATGAATATGAGAGATCAGGAGATGGGTTCCCAAGTCTCCAATGTCCCCACAGAGCACTGAAGCCCTGCCCAGGGAGAATGAAGGCATGCCCTAAGGAAAGGATCAATCAACATGACAACACTTTGACCTTTTCTCACTTTGTGAGCCAGCGACTAGAGGATGAATGGAGGGATCCCTGCCCAGGTGGGAAAGAAGCAGAGTGACCCTCTCAGCTCTGTGCCTTACCTGTGGGTTTGGAGGTAAGCTGGTATACTGATGAACCTGAGGACAGATCCCCAGACATGCTCCCTTTCTGAGGCCTCATCATGTCCCATTGGCCACTGCTACCCAGGCCCCCAGGCTCCAGGATTCTTCCCAAGTCTATTGTGCCCAGCATAGGAGAGTGGGACTGGGCTGGGTGGAGGTAGTGGGAAGAGTTGACTTTTGAATGACTGCTTGGCAATGCAGCTGTGCAAGCAGGAGGAACAGTGCCAACACCTGGACAGAAGAAACATGAGTTAGAAACAAACAGGGTGTCAGAAGGGAAGGATGGCAAAGCTGTGTATGAAGGCTAAGAATGGAGACTACTGAGGACATGTGGGATGTCAGAGATCCCAGGCCACTCTGGGATACCAGTTAGGTGAACACTCATAATCTCCAGCCCATAATTTTTAACCCTGGGTATTTCCTAGTGTGAGAAACCAAGAGGTAGAGGATGGATAAAGTATACGAGAGTCAGATATGTACACAAAGAAAAAATTCAAGGAACCCACTCCTGGCTCCTACTGTAATTCCTCATAAGAGAATCCAGGGAAGTTTAAGATATAGGATTCACTCCCAAAGTGAGAGGTTAACAGTATCCAGTGGGATACAGGACTGAACACAACCACAAACAGGAGTATTTATTTGCTTATGGGAATCAAAGCTAACCTAGAAGCTAACTAGTCAATCTTTCCATTCTTCCTTTGGGGTTTCAGAGGAAAGAGGGATGTAAAATCAGCTGGATATGGTATCTTTCAGAATGAAGAGCTCTTTGCTGCTGCTGGGAAAGCCACATGTAAGGCAAGAGAGGAAGGAAGGAAGGAAGGAAATAAATTCAGGAGGGTCTCTTTTCTTCCACAGATTATCAACATGGGCAGCAGAATAGACAGGCAGCCCTCCCTTAAGCAAACAGGACTGAGTTTATCATTTCCTCCAATCAATCCAAACTCTTAAGAGGGGTTAATGAATTCCTACTTGCAAATTTTTATCCACAATTCTAACTGGCTCTCAAATTTGGCTACATACTGGAATTACCTGAGAAAATGTAATTACACACACATAGACAGCATATACACACAAATATACATTCACACACATATGTACACAAACTTACACTCAAACACATATACAGACACAGCACAAATATATACTCATACACACATATATACATATGCTCACACACATACACATACTCACACACACACACACACACACACACACACACAAAAACATAGACGTACATACACACAAACATAGACTCACACATACACATATACATACACATACACACAAATATCTGAACCCCAGAGGTTTTGCCTTAATAGGTATGGAATATATCTTAAGCACTGGATGTTTTAGAAATCAGGTCAAGAGCTTATAGCAGGCAGTAAAATTTGAGAAGTATTATAATTAATCTTTCCTTCCCAATTTGCAAAATGCTACATGTTCATTAGGATCATTGGAGTTTCAGAGAGATAGTAGAAATTTAAGCACCTAACTTTTTTTTAGTAGGGATTCCATAAAGATATGATTTCCTATCCCTTTCATACTTCCTACAATCTCACTCCAACACAAGGGAAAGGGAGAAATCAATGATTGTAATAGCTTCCTTTTTAATCAAGGTCATGTGTGATTCTAAGACTATCAGTGAAAATGATCAGTATTATCATGATCCAGTCTTCTCTGGTCAGACAATACAAAATACATGCCCTGAACCTTATGATGACAACACACAATCTCTTGCAGAAAGAGTTCTTAGCCCTACACAGAACTGAGAAGCTACCATGCACCTCTGTTCTTGTGGAAAATTGATTCACAGCAAACAATATTCAAACATGGTCCTTTCAAAGGACTGATGAGAAAAGAAAGGACTAGAGTCTTCCTCAGCAAGGCCGGGGTATCTGAACTTGGGTCAAGGGCCTCAGTCTATATGTGACTCTAATGCAACCCACAAAAGACCCTTTTTTATGCATGGTATTCTCCTGCTGTCTACCTTTTGACAAGTCAACAAATGTGTAAAGATACAGGAAAAGAAGGCATAGGAAAGAGACAGATGCTAGAGAATACTCATGCCATTTTGGTATGGGGCATATTTGTGATTTTGGGGGAGTTCAGGTGATTGAACTCAGGACTAGGCAGGTGCTTTACCACTTGAGCCACTCCATCAGTCCAGTATGGGGCCTATTTATTACCCATCAACTATTGATGCTAGAACTACTAAAAGAACAAGTTTTAGATCACAAACATCGGCACTTTCCACTGGTCTCTAAGAGGGAGAAAGCAAGGGTCTCCAGAATTTTTTCAGCCGAGCTCAGCCCCACATCCTAAGCAGGATGGGAACAAACCATCCTAAGTTCAAAGGGTATAATCCAACCCTGGATGGAGCAGAGGCAGGGTCCCAGCCCATCTTCCACTTAGCATTATATTGAGCCCTGGTTTCCTGCTCCATGTACCACACAGGAGTCTGTGAGGCTTAGATAACACCTATCTTATGCTGTGAGGCAGACTGGAAAATCCTGAAAAATGCTTTAGCAGGTTCTGTAAATCAAACTGAGGAAGATGAGACAAAACATCCATTTTCAGAGCTGACTAAAGTCATAAGCTGGTTCAAATGAAGTTGAGGGTTTAAGTGATGCAAACTCCTGCACTAGTCACTGGATGTCCTTGGTATAATGGCCCTTGCCATCAATCTCTGGTTCACCCAAACTTCATTAGAGACACAGAATGTAATTTTAAGGTAATTTCAATCTCCTTTCTAGTTGTTCCTTAAAACATTACTAGAAAGGAAAGTTTTTTTCCCTTCTTTTTTTTTCTAAGTCCAAAATGATCACACACACAAAATTTTATGATGAGGTATCCAGCCTAACATATAGCAAATTATCTCTTCTCTCTCTTTCTCTCTCCATCTCAAGCTTTTGCCTGGGCCAGCATTGATTGTAATCCTCCTACCTCTGCCTCCCAAGTACCTGGGGTAACAGGTGTGTATCAACATGCCCAGCTTGTTCTGTGAGATAGAGTTTCACCAACTTTCTTGGGTTTGCTTCAAACCAATGATCCTCCTATCTCTGTCTCCCAAGTAAATCCTTTCCAGTGATTGTATACAGTCTATGAATTTGGTGACTACATAAGATTTACTATCTTTGGATGTCAGAAGACAAAATTTACATCAAACATCATAGGCTGTGGCCTATGCTATGCTCTTGCTGCCCATGTGTCTCCTGTCCTAGAGTAGGGATGAACCTGTGCAATGGGAAAAGGGGATCTGTCACCTCCATATTTTAATCTCTCTACCACCACCCGTTTTATCTCAAACTGATGATGTCAGGAACTAAAGACTTCACAAAAGGAGAACATAGTGGCCCCACAAAGGAGCCCATGAATGTGGCCATATTTTTATGGCCATCTCATCCTGCATAGGCAAAGCACAAACTAGTTCTCCCACACTACCAAGAAGTACTTCCCCAGGCTGTCAGGAACTTAGCATACTTGGTGGGACCCAACCCTGCCCAAATGGAGAGGCCCAGGTCGAGAGCCTCCGGAACACATCTTGTCACTGATGAGACATAAGCGCCAGAAAGATAATAGTAAGCAAATTAAAAAAACAAAAAAGCAAGCAGAGTTTTCCCTCAATCTTCCATTTGCAACATGTGTCCCTGTTATTTTCTTTCCACTTCCATCAACAAGCCAAAGCCATGCAGAGCAACACAGTGTGGGTTGCCACTCGCAAGCACACAAAGGCAGCAGGAGTGCTCACTTTCTCCCAACTGCTTCTGCAGCATCTGCAATTCCTGGTGTGCCTCGGCCAAGGACACCACAGGTGTCTCACAGCAGCCAAGGAAGGGAGGACCAGGAGATCTGAAAGGCAGGAAGCTGGATGGAGCTGAGGGCAACGGTGCCTGGGGGAGGCTAACCAGCTTGGGTGTGGAGTTAAAATGAAAGCCTAGAAACAGAAAATTAGGGAGAAAGGAGACACATCATTAGAGAGAAAGTGAGAGAAAAGACAGGTAAAGGATTGAGGGTGTGAAACCAATCCTTGACCAGATATGACCAGGTAGAGAGGCTAGCTCTTAATGTGGCCCAGGCTGCACTGGACGGACAATGGTGATTTCTACTCTAGAAAGGTGGGCCTGGCTGATCTCTCCTCTTCCTCCCCTGCCAGGGCTGTTCTGCATACATATGCCTTCCTCATCTTGAAAAACATTGAATACAGAAGACCAGGTGGCATGCCTAAGCCCACCCCACATCAGGATGCTTGTGCCTGAAGGCTCTCAAGGGTCCCTGCAGAGTTGCTCCTAGCATGGACAGTCCTTGCCTTTAGGACAGACTCTCTTACACCAGGCCCTCCTCTTTAGAAAGCATTAGGGTCCACCCTGAGAAGGGAAGGAGTGGAAATTTGCATTAATAGTAGATGCAAATTGCAACTCTGCTGGAAATAAACTTCAGAAACTCAATTGTGGTCTTTCACCAGATGAAAAATAGATGTCCTGGATGTCTTGGCGGAATGGCTGAGACACAGTGTCTTGTAAACCTGACTGGGCATTCAAATCACCTAGGAAAAACTGATTTTTTGAGACACAGTCTCACCAGGTTGGCCTCAAACCTGCTGTGTAGCCTAGGTTGGCCTCAAAAACTCATGACCCTCTTGTCTCTGCCTCCAGAGTACTGGGATTACAGGCATGTGTCATCATGCCCATCTAGACAAACTCAACACATGCAGATTCTTTAGGTCTTAATGCAACCTACAGAATTGTAAACTCTGGGCATAGGGCTTGGAAATATGAATTTAAAACATCTTCCCAGGTGATTTAGGTCTTTAGGCACCCTAGGAAGATCCAATGTTTGAACCTGTCTTCTCTGACCTAAAAATAGAGGGCTGATAGCCAATGGAGCAAGTAGAAATCAAAAGTGACCTGTGGGAAGTGTCTAACATAGAAGACTGGTTGTATTCTGAAATGCATCCTTTGCCTCAGGATGCTACTATCAGGCAGAGCAGTATTGCAGAGACACCTGAACCGCCAAGTGACAAGCCAGGCATCTTTGGGGGAGGCATTCTGATTTTAAAGCCCCTGACCTTCAGCTCTGTTGGAACTGAAGGTATTTAAGCAGATCTACAGCTCTGGGTGAACAGCTTTTCTGTCCATGATCTTCAGCTGCTGTGCACTCTGGTCCAACCCAGGTCCTGGCGGACTAGGGACACTTCTTTAAGATGGTTGTTGAACTGTTTTGGGGAGAGGTGAGGGCAGAAGAAGAAAGCACTATGATTTCTTGGAGCACCTCTACCCAGTCAGACCACACCACAAACCAACCTGGAGGCAGCCACAGTGGAGACAGGAGGAGTCAAGACTGGCCCTTTCCCTGCTATCCTTGGAGCAGAGCTGTGAGTAACAATGAAGCCCCAGCAGCTATGCTGGGGTGTGTGAGTGAAACACACCCCTCTCATTAACCCCAGGATACATGCTATGCACATGTCAAGGACTACCAATCCACTCACAAACCCAGGAATGTTAATGTAAAATGAACAGCACTTCGCTACAAAGTGAGCCACCACCCATTTCAGAGGGCTCTGTGCAGGTGAAATGGGCAACAGATCAGTAGCTGTGATTTCTTTTTGTTCTTTGACCACTGTCATCCTGAACAAAACATTTTGCCTCTGTTCACCAGGGTAAAAGAGAGAAAGAAATGAAAACATTTATTTAACAATGATTAGCCAACTATTGGCCAAAACTGGTACTCAGATCAAAGCCTGTTGTAGATTTCTTATTTTCTAAACTATTCTTCAAAAGCAGACACAAATTGTGAATGAGGAGGTGGTTTTGTCTAGGATGAGGTACAGATAGGCCTCTAACTGTCCACACCTTTGTTCCTGAAGGAAAGTCAAACAGGCCACTAAGGAAGAGGGGATGAAGCTACTGCCCTACTGGCTATAGCATACCTGGAAGGGCTTGGCTGGCCTCCTTGAGGGGTTTCTGGGGAGCTGGCAAGCTGATGGGGTTGCTGCTGGATTCGGCCTTAGTCCCCTGAGATGCATTGGTGGCTGATGGTTTAGAAGAAAATGCAGCCAAATGACTTGAATGATGGATGGAATCTATAAAACCCATGAATGAAAGAAAATGTTTGATGTTCTATAGAGAACTGGAATCCTGGCCTTACGTTTAACCAGAGGGACCCAGGGGCGACAAGTTTGCTGTCTGGGAAAGCTCCAAGTATAAGCACTACCTGCAGTGTTCATTTTATTGCTTACAGATAGATCCTTTTGTGAAGCAAACTACCTTAGGGTGAAAGTGGAGCTCAGATCCCTGAAATCATGAAATGATTCCCCAAAACATCAGGCAAGACTGACAACATCTGTGGATACCCACAGATACTCAATGGATATTGATCAGGAACAAGATCATTGCAGGAGAGATGAGATGCTTCATCTTAAAAGAGGAGGTCTGTCAGACAGATCCAGTGAGCAACAAAGGTCTGCTGCCATCTTCTCACTCCATACTACAGAACACCTCAGGTCCAGCAGCATTTTCATGCCAGTGGAGGCCAGGGTGACAAAGCGACATGTAATAGAGCAAAGATTTAACCCATGGAACTGGGAGCCTGTGTTTGGTACTTGGTCCCAGAATCAAATTCAGCCTGATGCACACCAAGGTGGAGCTGTAAGGCCTGCTTTACAATTCTCTTCTCAGTCTAGACAGAAATGGCACCACTCAGAAAATGGAGGCTACCTGAGTGACCAGGTGAAGCTTTCTTTTCTTCATAGTGTGTGTATTCGCTGGCTATGTCCATGTCTGAACAGGCATCCAGCTCATCAGACAAAAAAGAGGTGCTGCTGGCAGAGCGATGAGACTCGGACAAGGCATGGCTACTGGGGGGCGAGAGAGACCGGGAGTCCAGCTTGGCCTGCAGGACTTCAATCACTTTCTCCTTTTCCTGAAGTTCCCTGCTGAGCCTGGTGGGGAGAAGGATGAACAACAGATAAAACCAAGTAACCTAGACTAGCTAGTACTAAGGCCTATGAGAAAAGCCACATAGGCCAAGGGGACTATTCTGCACCACATAGTCAAAATAATTCATCTCTAATTAGAAGTAGAGGGCAGATGGGGGGCAGATGGAGAAAGAACAATAGCTACACGTGGCTACATGGTGGGCTGAGGATAAGCTGAGAACAGCAATCCTCTAAGATGCTGCAGTGTAAGGCCCTTGAACAGCTGCAGTCTGAAAACTGTATCTCCAAGACAAGCATAAAAAGTGAAAGAACACATTGAAAAACATAGAACAAAGCACTGTCCCAACATCCATGACTATGATAAGTGGAGTCTTGTCATTAACTAGAGTATAGACTATGTATGTATCTGTGATGGATTAGAAATAAAAACAAAAATAACACCAAAACACCATGTCCCTCACCACAGATATGTTGAGGAGCATTTATGTTGTCTAAGGCACAATCATGATGCCAAGAGCTCACACCAGTGTCTACAACTGACCTGAGACAATATCTTCTTCAGCCTGATAGGCAATGACTCTCTGACAACTGGTTCCTGAGGGACCACTCAGGGATCTGCATTGTCAGGGTCTCTTTTGCTAGGTAATATTATGATTGTGACTTCTCCATAGAAATTGGGTAACTATTAAGCTGTCAACCCAACTCAGGAGGCCAACCTTCCAAAAGCTCACCCTCACTATTGAACATACAGGGGAAGAGCAAAGAAGGACCCTGGGAGTTAGACAACCCTTGAAACCTACTTAGTTCACTTGTAGGTCAGAATGCTTCTAGGTTACCAGACCTGGAAAATTAACTTGCCAATAGTATTATATTAAAAGTGAAGAAAAAGTGGTTTAAAACAATAGTAAAGTATTTAATGAAAAAAATGATTGATCATATTCAGTTTTTTTTTCCTTCCCGCTGCCCCCAATTTGTGAAGTTGTGGACATCGTTGACCCCTTGGACCCTGTCTGATCCATTTCCCAGATTTTCTTTTGATTACCTGAGGGCCAGTGGCTCAAGTCTAGCTTGTTCTTTCTCACTCTTATGATCCTCTGCAAATCAAATTCAAAAAGAAACAGTGAGAAATAAAACAGGTCCCACCTTTTATACATTACTAACAAGGGGCCTCACAGAATAGTGAGTACTCTACATATGTGTCCAGGGTAATTATTTTAAGGGCCTCAGGTTGTATCTTTTTCAAATTACTATATATTAATTATACAAAATAACAAGTTTCTTTCTTTTATCCAGTACTGGGGTTGAACTCAGGACCTCACATTTTCTAGGCAAGAGCTATACCACTTGAGTCACACCACCAGCCCAAATAATAGATTTCTTATGACATTTTTATAGATGAATATAAGGTACTTTGATTTTATACTCCCCATAATCCACACTTGTCCCCTCTTCTTCTTGCTGATCCTTTTCCTGTTCCCTAATAGCACTCTTCTAGTTTCATGTCCCTCATTCACTTCCCTCTCTCCCTCCCTTGTTCCCCTCCCTCCCTCCCTCCCTCCATTTCTTCCTTCCTTCCCTCCCTTCCTTTCTTTTTAAGATTCCACTCATGAGAGAAAACATGCGACATCTGTTCTTAGAGAAGTGAACTGGCAGACTCAACTGAGTTCACCAGGCAGAACTTCCCTGACTTGGTAGTCACCATCATGACTTCATATGTCCTGAATCAGGGCAAAAAGCTGAAATATCTTTTGTCTCATTAATCATGAGACACTTGACCAGCTGTCCTGCACAGACTGCCTCCCAGATACACAGCTATGTGTCCCATCACCCCTTTCATGTAGACCCTGTTCTTGTCTCTGAGGAGATGACAAATGCCTGTTTCATTTCTGCACCTACCACCAGTAGATAGGTTTGTTGCCACTAAGTCTAAGCCTGCTGCATTCTCTCAGATGTTCTCAGGAAATTCTAAGTAACATGTTCAACTAATAACCAGTAATACAGCACTTGAAATATTATAGCCACTGTCTTAACCATATCCACAAGAGCACTGTGATTTATTCATATTTGAAGTACATGCAATAAGGTAAGAAACAGAGATGACAGAAGCATAAGTCATTTGCCCAAAGCAAGTTAAAGGCACCCTCCAGACTAGAGTCTGAATCTTTCAATTGTTAGTCTAGGGTCCTTTGAGCTGATCTCCCTTTCTCCCTCTTAGCACTCAATACTATCTCCTGTTACAAAGGTCACACCCTATGTGTGATGAAGTCTCTACAGTCTTTTTGTGTATTTTTCTGTTTGGTTTAGTTTTATGAGACAGGATCTCACTATGTAGTTCATGCTGGCCTCAAACTCATGATCTTCCTCCCTCAGACTCCTGAGTGTGCACTGCCAAGCCTGGCTTAAGTGTCTACAATTATAACCATGGCATCTCCAACCTTGTATGTTCCTCTTGTAGCTCCTCAGCAGCCAGTCCTGATATGGTCATGGCCGTGAGGAGATGAAGTGAAAACTAGACTCTGTAGTAGCCACCTGGGCCTAAAACTGTGGGAATGACTGGAAGCACTCTGAAGCCCCACAGCTAACTTACTGGTGCTGAGTTTGCTGGTGAGCCTCTCAGTCAGCTGACTTCCTTGAGCAAGTTGTTCCCGGAAGCTCTGGCCCAGATAGTAGTCAATGTCATTGCTCCTCAGAAGGTCCTCAAAATATTTTACTGTATCTTTTGCATGCTGGGTGAGAAGGTAACAAATCCCTCTCCCTTCTCGTACTTTTTGTCGTAGGTAGGATAGTTCTCGGGCCTGATCCTGAATCAGGGAATCATATTTCCTAATGCAAGAAAGAGAACAGTGAGTAAGAAAGGAAAAGAGTAGATGAGCAGTTGTGGGGACTTCCTCAGAGATTTATGTGAGGATAAATCTAAGGAACTCCCTCAAGATGAATTCACACAATCTATGGAAAGTATATAAGAGAAAATTCTACTCTGAGATACCACTGTATCAAAGCATGAGAAAGCCACTGTTCTTCAATATATTTTAGTCACATGTCCAAAGCTAAATCATAAATTCTGTGAATGCAAAGGCAATGCCTATTTTATAACTCATATAGCACCAATATAGTGTAGACTCCAAATAGATACTTGATAAATACTCAGAATCACTTGATCCTAAGTCTAAATAGGACCTTCCTTGTCCTCTATTTCAAACACCATCAGATGCATGAATTTCTTCTATACCATGGTACCATGCACATGGCATTTTGCAAAGATACCCATTACATGATTTCCCATTCCACACACTCTTCTGCAATATGGCTTTGCCACTCCTCCATCAGTTGATAGAGGCTATTCTCCACTCTTCCTTAAATCTGAGAAGGGTATGTGCCTAGTTTGACCAAGGTCATATTGTGGAAGTAACACTGCGATAAGTACAGGAATAGCCCTTGAGTGTCCTGGCAACTTTCACTTGGTACCTTAGAAACCAACTTTCATATAGAAATGAAACTACCCTGAGACCACTATACTATGAAAAGCCAGAGCCACAGGAGAAGCCCTGGAAGACAAGAAGCCACATGGAGAAAGAGAGGAGTGAAGGAGCACCAAGTCACTAGTCATAGACAACAAAGCCATGCCCAGTCCAGTGAGGCCTTTCAAACGACGCCAGTGATAGCTACTACCTGATGGCTTCGCAAGAGACCCACCTAAATCCGGTCAACCTACCGAACCTTGAGAAATGGAAAAGCAGCCACATTTTGAACACATTGTTACTTTGAAATAGATAACTAGGACAGATACTAGTTGAATGTGTACCCGGTATTTTTAAATATACACTATCAACAATAATAATTACAGCAAAAAGCATTGAGAACTTACTACATGTCAGATACCACTCTAAGCACTTGTATTAACTTATTTAAACTTAACAGGCATCCTCTCAGTTGGGTTCTCTTATTATTGTCATGTAATTGTAAACACATAGGCTCAGGAGGTTAAGTATGCTGCACAACTAATAAGTGGCAGAGCGAGGATTTAAACCCAGGCAGAGTCTAGTCTGAGTCTAGTCATATACTATCCTATGCCATATATATTGTTTCTTTTCTAATATAACCCTTAAAGGAAATCCCAGAAACTGGTATTTCCCAGACACTGGGACACCATCCACAGCCCTGCAGGTTGCTGATATGCCTGTCTTTCCTCAGACCTAACTCTATTTCAATAAATGCTCTTCTGCCATGATCTGTTCTCCCTTCTGACTGCCTAGTCTTCCCTATTCCAGGCACAAACTTAGACATCATCAATCAAGTAAGGACCCAAACAATGCCCTCCTTACCCAGGCCACGAGGCTGATCTCAATTCCTCAGCCAGCTTCCCTTCTAGTCCGGTTTTTGGGAGCTGGGCCTCCAGCTGGGATACTCTCTGGATGAGACTCTCCAGATCCTTTTTAGCCTGAAACCCTGGGGGATAGAAAGCCCCAGTGCCATCTGACAGCCACCCCTCATCCTCGTCAGTGACACTGTGAGGTGAAGACCCCTCAAGGGTGTCAACAGCTCTCAGCTTCCGAGGTCTTTCCAGGCTCGATGAATAATCACTTGTAGCTGAGAGGGATCGGACACGGCTCTTGAGGTTCTGAATAACCTTGTTGGCATTCTGCAACTGGGCTTTCAGATCCTTGATGTCCTTTCGTAGGACAGAGATATTTTCTGACTTTCCATATGCCTGGGACTCTTCCTGCTTCCCTAGTTTGCTCTCCAAAGGCTTCTTCCCAGAAGGGTTGACCAGGTGCCCCTGCTCAGAGCACATCTGTGTTGTGGCCCTGAGGCTGTCATGTTCTTCACATTCTGAAAGAGACAAAGACATTTTCCTGGAGAAAAGTGGAACATGCTGCTATGACCACTCCCTTTGAGGGGAACAGGTTGGTCAGAAGAACAAGTACTGGAGTAAGTGTTGAAGTAGTACTTTCTTCAGCCCTGACTCTGCACTGGGCACTCAAATGCAGTATTCCTTATTGTCCCAATAGCCCTGCACATTAGGTATGGTCAACCTTCCATTTTACTGACTGGGAAGACCAAGAGTCACAGAGAGGTAACCTAGCTAGTCCTAGATCACTTAGACTAACACTTGGCAGAGCCAGAATTCAAATCCTCCAATGAACTGTGTGCTTTCTTTTTTTTTTTTATTCATATGTGCATACAATGTTTGGGTCATTTCTCCCCTCTCCCCCTACCCCCTCCCTTATCCCCTAACCCCCTCCCTCTTCCCCTACCCCCTCGATACCCGGCAGAAACTATTTTGCCCTTATCTCTAATTTTGTTGAAGAGAGAGTATAAGCAATAATAGGAAGGACCAAGGGTTTTTGCTAGTTGAGATAAGGATAGCTATACAGGGAGTTAACTCACATTGATTTCCTGTGCATGTGTGTTACCTTCTAGGTTAATTCTTCTTGATCTAACCTTTTCTCTAGTTCCTGGTCCCCTTCTCCTACTGGCCTCAATTGCTTTAAAGTATCTGCTTTAGTTACTCTGCATTGAGGGCAACAAATGCTATTTAGTTTTTTAGGTGTCTTGCCTATCCTCATACCTCCCTTGTGTGCTCTCGCTTTTATCATGTGATCAAAGTCCAATCCCCTTGTTGTGTTTGCCCTTGATCTAATGTCCACATATGAGGGAGAACATATGATTTTTGGTCTTTTGGGCCAGTCTAACCTCACTCAGAATGATGTTCTCCAATTCCATCCATTTACCAGCGAATGATAACATTTCATTCTTCTTCATGGCTGCATAAAATTCCATTGTGTATAAATACCACATTTTTGTGTGCTTTCCTCATGTGTTGATGCCTCTTAAGTGTAACAGTAATACAGACCTTATATATATTTTAAGCGACAATAAGAACTGTAGAACAAGCTGCTCCTGCATGCTGAAAGTTTAATGCTGTTAAATACTTCTGTGGTTTAAAAATATTGGGTTACAACCATGTGAAAAATAGGCCTAGGAAAATAAGACCTCACAGAAATGTACCAGCATGTTAACAATAGCAGTGTTAGGGCAGTGGCCAGAATGAGAACGAAGCATTTTACTAGGCACCACACCCTGTTTTAAAGTGTTTTTAGGAATTTATTCACTTAATTGACATTAGTATCTGGTGGGTTATTACCATTTTAGCAGATGAAGAAACTGAGGCACAGAGAGGTTTTAAATAAGGATTTGATTCAACCAGTTTGGCCACAGGATCCCTGCTCTCAACTGTCACACTACACTGCCTCCAGGGTGAGAGAGATGCTGAGTCTCCTCCTCTCGGTTTCAATTCAGTAGGTCCCAGTGCTTATAGCACTTGGTTCATGCAAATTTTTTTTACCTCATGCTTTACATGTATTCCAAAGCTCATATGGTCTCTTCCCTAATAAGTAGACTTCAGTACTTTTTCTATAATTATCAGTTTGGATAGAACTGTAATTAATGGCAGTATGCTAAAAGCAAATTATAGAAGTTCAAGCTCACATTTGGACTCATTTTGGACAAGAGTTCTCCAAACTGTCTGTCCTTCTCTGGTGTTATGTCCCCTTCAGTCATCCCTCCTGATCTACTACTCATCCAGTGTGGGAGTAGCATACACAGCCCAAAGGTGATGGCTGACTCCAGGGAGGGAGAGCAAGCCTCATATCCTGAGCTCTTACATACCAGGGCTGGTGGTCTCTTCACGCTCAGCTTCATTCTCACTTCGGCCACAAGTCTCATAGCCCAGGTCCTGGAGGTCCACCTGGACCTGCTTGCTGTCCTGCTTCACCAGGGATTCACCTGCTCAGGAAGAGATGGTGAGTGTTACAGTGTTTGATTTCCCACATGTCCTTCAACCTCAGAGGCACACATGCTGTCTTTTGGGTGCAGGAAGGTCAGAGTGATGCTTCTCTAGACTTTCTCCAGTCAGGAGGACTGACTCCCACCAGCATGAGCCTGTTTTCACCATGAGGATCTTAGTTTTGATAACCTAGGCTTAGCTGGGCACAGATACCTATAAGTTGGGGATCATATACTGTCATCTCTGGAAGCCCCAGTGAGATTAGCAAGGCCCTTACCCACAAGGGCTCAATAAGCATTTGAATAGAACTGAGCTGATTTAGAGTCCCAAGATACCTGACCCAGTACTGTCCAGGCAGTTACTGGCCACATGTGACTATTTATATTAAATTAATTAAAATTAAATAACACTTAACATTTCGTTTCACTAGCCACATTTCATGTGATGCAGACACAGAACATTTTTCATCACCAAAGAAGTTCCATTGGACAGTGCTGACTCTAGACCAATAATGAAACTATGTCTTTGAAGATTCTTGTGGTGCAAAGAGAAGGAGAGAGATGGTTATGTTGAGAGAGGCTAGGCAGTTTGCTGAATATACAAGAAATTAGCAAGTCCAAACATTCCCCCAATTCCTTTTTATACTCTGACTGCAAAACCTTGCTTTCTTCTTTACTCCTCTCTGTCCTCTGCAAATTCAAGTAAAATATTCACTTCCACAGTTCTAGGACTATGGTCAGACCTAATTGTTCTGAGGTTGGGGAACAAAAGTAAAACCTGCAGAACACATAGTTTCTCAGGAAGAAGAAAGACACATTGGTGTGGTGAGCTTGTAATACTTACTAAATATGGCTCTGTATTTCTCCAGCTGGTTTGCCTGGGCAAAAACAGTGGCTTCTGAGATCAGCAGCTTCTCCTGGAGATCTTGATAGTGCTGTCTGCATTGAGCCAGCTGGTAGCGCAGGTGCTTGGTAGACCCCAGAAGGCTCAATTCTGACTGAGGCCCAGGGTCCTGCGATTGGTTATCCAGCTATGAATGGGGCCAATAAAGGGATCAGGACAGTCTAGGTCACACCCCACATGAGGACAGCCATTTCCCCCTCTGAACTCCATGGATTGTATTCATGTGTTTGTCATAGCACTTAGCATGCCATTGGTAGCTCCTGGCCTTCCAGAGAGAGCTGAGATGATGTTTTATTCATCCCTTTACCACTAATCCTCAGCAACTGCTTGCCCAGTGGTTAAAGGGAAGAGGTAGAACCCTCCACTTGGCTCTCCCTGCACTCCTGTCCCTCAGAATTCTCTGTAATCTCAGTACACTGAATGCTCAGCAAAGCTCCTTGCCTCAAGAGGACCCCAGTAACCCCTTCTGAGTCCCAGAAACAGACACCAACACCTGTGATGAGCTGTGATGACAAGAGCAGTGCTAAGAAAGAGACATCATTATACATCATTTGTCTAGGCTGCCTCAAGACCCAGTGCATGTCAATACTGTGGCAGTTAAATCCTATTAAAATGATCTGGTATTGCACAATTTTCCCCCATCATATTGAGTATGTTAAGGGCAGAGATCAGGTTGTAGTACCCACTGCCAATGCACAGTATGTTATCTGGAAAACAGATAATCTTGTAAAAGCCTTTCTGAATCCATAAGGATGCCTTTATTATCACCATAGCACTTCTTGCTGTGCAAAGTTTCCCTTCCCTCAGTATCCCCTGACCCACAAGGCAGAGCTGTCTGAGGTCAACACTAAAATCTCCAGCCCTTCACTAAGTGCTTCTTATGCCACCCACACCCTTACTTACTTTGTGTGTATCCACTGTGAGGCCCACCCCAAGGTCAAGGCTCTGGGGTCTGGGGCAAGGTCTCATGGTTTCCTCTTCTTGGTGTTGGTGTTTCCCAGAAGAACAACCCAGACCTGTGTTCATTCTGTCGATCTCCCTGGCCAGGTGCACAAGGAGCTCTGGAGTAAGTTTGCTATTCTCTTCCTTGCTGCTCACTACCAGCTGCTCTTTGAGGAGGGTGATGATGTTGTGAGCACTCTTCAGTTTTCCCTGGAGTTTTCTGAACTCAGCTTGAAGGCCACTCTCATTCAGACACCCTTTGGCAACCACAGTCTCCACCATAACCTCGCCCTTCTCCTTGTCTTCCTCAATCTCCCATCCATCAGACATTGCTTCTCCCATCTGCTCTTTCAGTTCTGCATTCTCAAGACAAAGGCTCAGCATGGTGTTCCTGCAGGGAACATACAATCGGGAACCAGGTCTGGTCTGGACCACACCTCTAAACAGTCCCTCTCACCTCACCTCAGTCCATGATAGAATCAGAGACATCCCAGATCACAAAGCAATCTTATTTTATATGTGGCCCTGAACACCTCAGACACCAAAGCCAGCAGTCACGGTGAACATGCATCTCTCCACACAGTCCAGTTGAATCCCTGACTCTCCTTTAAAAGATGAACATTTTCTCTCAGAATGAGGAGGACAGTGCTTTGGGAGTTTGGCTCTTCCTGTCTTCCTATTTGATGAATAGCAAACCTTATTTCCTTTTCCTCAAAACCCTGCTCTCATGATTTGTAAGTTGTGAATTGCCATTGAGACCAGGGAACCAGTTTTCTAGTAACACCCAGGATATCAGAAATTAGAAAGAGTTGGGAGAGCCCTTTAAGCTGGTTCTATCTCCTTTGGCCTCTAGAGGCCCAAACAAAAGACAAAAAATATCTCATTTGTTTGTTCTGTGCTTGTGTGTTCTATGTAACATGCCTTTAGATTCCATCTGAAAGCCATTTGGAAAAATCTCATGGTCACAGAATCAGCAGAAGGGAGCAGAGAAATGCTGCCACCATGGCAGGTTCTGCCATGCCTCCTCCAGTGGCCCAACCCCACAGTGGCCATCTCTGCCATGATGGCACTAGGGGTTCTTTGCTATCTTGTTACCCCTTAGGGAAAATTATAATTAATCTGTGGCTAAAAGGCCTATCTGAGAATACTGTAAATCAATACACTGATTTATATGTGTTATTTTTATAACTATGTAAAAGCTGCTGCCTCTGCCAAAAAAAAGTGGCTATCTTATCTCAATCAGGTCTAACTAAAGCACATATTGTTCAAAAATTAACTCTAAAACTGGAACTAAAAACAAATTAACAATTTTAAAACTCAAGTGGTTGTTTTGACTGCTTAATTGGGGGCTTATCCTTAAAGTTTGATTATTTATTTTATCAAAAATTTTTCTAAGTTCAAAATTTTATAAAAATTATTTCAAAATACAAATTTTTAAAAAAATCTACACATAGGTCTGTCAACTGCTAAGCTGTTTTTCAATATTTTCACCATATCTATTCTAGTCTTTTGTCATTACAGTTTTGATCCATCTGGAACATTTATAATCAAACCCACTAAAAATACTCCAGCAAGTGCTTATCTGTCAAATGAATTAGGTTTTTAAATACTTCTGTTGGGTTTTGTTTTGTATTGTATTCTGCAAAGTATAGCTTCTACCAATAACAGCATGAAAAACATTTTTTTGAGATACTAGGATGTAATCTATAAAACAGATGAAATTAAACCTAATCGTCAACCCACAGCATAAAGCTTGACTCCTATACCTGATTTATAGCATGAGTTTCATATAAATTTTCACTTTGGAGGGGCCAAAAACATAAATCCATGCCTTAAAATCTGGAATGCAGAAGTAAAAACGGAGATGTTCCCACATGCTTGAAATTCAAACCATGATCCAAGGAAGAGGCAATAAATCGGTAAGGCTCACAAAAAAAGAGACAGCCAATCGACAGTTGGCCTAATCTGAGGTATAAAACCTATTCTCAACCCTGGCTCAGCCAGTATGCTCATTTGTCCTGCCATTCTATCCACTTTTAATGGTGTCTTAATATACGTTTACTTTCCCCTACTCTCTAAGTAAATTCTTTTACCAACTTGTGACTCCCCAAATCTATGACACTCTGTACATTTTATGTAGGTTCTACAGGTGATTTTCACTGCACAGAACTAAGAATGCTGAGCTAGAAGAGGCAAAGAAAATGAGTAATTCATAGTCTGAGGGATCAGAAGTCAGCTATGCACGTAAGCTGGATTTCTCAGAATCCTGAAGTCTTGGAGCTTCCAGAAGAACCTATCTGGTGTGATTTAGGGACATAAGGCACAGAACTCAGATAGACTGTCTGTCTCCCTTCTTAATGGAGAAAAAGGAGGCAGGTATGTTACTAAAACTAGGATGTAGGAGGGAGAGAAACAGGAAAAGTATATTTAATATTATATTACAACTTCATGTTTCAGGGTAAACCCTGATGTTTTCATAGTACAAACTAAGAAAGCAAAGCTCCACAAAATTTTCTTGGAAGGAGGGGCTGGATTCTGTATTATACAACATCAATATTTCTTAAGGTTAGGTGGATTGTTAAGCAACTAAGAATTTCAGGTTAGAAAGAAAATAATTCATGAGGGTATCTATAAATGGTGTGTTGAGCCAAAAGAGATTTACTGCTCATACTTGTCACATCGAAATTTAGTTTATACATACAGAAGTTTAAGTAAGGGAGCTGGTGGAGAAGCTCAAGGGGTAGAGAGTACTTGCCTAGCAAGAGCGAGGCCCTGAGTTTAAGCTCCAGTATGACTAAAAAAATAAATAGAATTTTAAGTAAAACTCACATTTTAACTTAAGTAGAACTTTAGGAAAGATTTATAAAATTCAGCAAAAAAAATGGACATTTAGAATCATCACAAGAATTATAAAAATTGTTTGACAAAATATACAATATAGAAAGGCTTAGTGTTAAAAATCAGGAGCCAGGGATCTACCATGAACTGTTATGCAACCTTGAGCAAGTCACTTGGAACTTTCTAGCCCCTAGTTTCTTCAACTATGAAACAAGGACAATAGGCTGATGCCACAGTCTAACATTATTTTGGGAAGTAAAAGCGATATGTAACATGCAAGGAAATGATAGGTCATGAATTAGAAGTTGAACATAGCTGTACTGTACACAATAGGCCAAGCTGTTATGGCCCTCAAGGATGAATAGATACAGTAGATTTAGTAGCCATGGGTATATGGTTCCAAGGTGACCTCTGTTGAGACAGACTTCAGCACTATACTGTAGATTTTTGACTAATTTTTCTCAAAACACAGCCCACCTTCCACTAAAGACATGCCACTTTTCAACAAATCTTAACTTTTCACTTTATCACTTAAATAAGCATACATATCAACTTTTACCTGGCTTTTGGTGTAGCATTTGCTTTTTGGGAAGCAGATTTTCACAAAATTAAGGACAGGAAAACACTTAGCAGATCACTCAATGATTTAAACACAACTGACAATAATGTGGAACTGATTGAGAGCTTCTCTGAAACCACTGAGCTGCATAATGCAGAAATGCGTTGCTATTTTTTGACCACGTTCAATCAAAATTTCATGTAATAAATCCATGAGTAAGGCTGGCTTACTATGAATGGATTGGCTGTACAAGTTTAGTTTAGCTCTATTAGTGTCCACATATCTTTTAACAAAAAGCCTATAAAAGCTGGAGTGGCCAATGTAGCCAATGAATCAGCTACTTGCCATTGTAAAGTTAATAAAGTAGCAGAGAATACAAAATTGCTATTCCATGATTCACGTACTTGTACTTCTGAGAGGAGACAGAGGAACCTCTGCATAAACCCTCTTCCCTCATAGACTGTTCTAATTCTGCACACAGCAATGAAGCTTCCTGGGTAGAAGATCCTTCATGTTCCAATCAATTCAACCACAGAACTAAGGGTTTCCAACCATGGCTACCATATGTATGATGAGCATTTGGGCAGTAATGATGGGCATTATATTGAATTAAGACTAGATTACTTGAATAACACAAGTGACTATGATGATCCAGTATTATTTACTTTTCTCTAAAGAATTTGTAGAAACATGCACAGCACCTGAAATGTGTACTAAGTTGCCCTGGGGTAGCACAAATGCCTGGCTGTAGGGTCTCCTAGTCAACAGACTCCCCTTCATGGTGAAAATGTCCTACCTGATGTGTGACACAGAGGAGAATCCTGCTTCCTCAATTTGAGCCTTTAGCTCCTTGAGTTCCCCCTCAGCCTTTCTCTTCTCCTCTAAGTGCTGATGGATCTCAGCCCTCAGGTGGAGCATTTCCTCCTGAAGACACCTATTGCTGTCCCCTCCTACCGGGGAAAGAGGAGGAAGAGATATGTTCTGAGTCTCCACAGTTGCCAGGCTTTTCTCCAAAGCCACCTTGATGAGCTGAAAGAAAATCATGGTTTAAAGAAATTAGGTCATTAAATAGGATCCAAGCCAGGTGCCTTGGATCATACCTGTAATTCTAGCTACTTGGGAGGCTGATATCAGGAGGATCACACTTCAAGGTTAGCCTGGGAAAATAATTCAAGAGACCCTCATACCAAAAAAAAAAAAAAAAGACAAGACCCAAAAAACCCCACAGCAAAAATGGACTGAAGGCATGCTCACATGGCACGAAGGCCTGAATTTAAACATCGTCCCACCAAAACAGGAAAAGAAAAAAAGAGGTTCTAAGAAGAACATGAGATCACAAGGGCAGCTTTTTTAATGGGGCAGCTTTTAATGGCAAAAACAATAACAAGGCAAAACTTTAGAACTCCCCTTCAAGGACTAAGGGCCTTGGAGACTGGTTTGGGTAGGGAAGACGCATCTAGTGAGGTGTGGGAGTTTCTCCCAGGGGGAAAAAGAGGCAAGTCCAGAGATGGGTGAGGAAAACACAGAAGCATACACACAAACCCATTTAAAACAATTACATACAAATTAGGTTTTAATAGGTCGGGCAGTTATAGATACTGGTATTCTTCTCTTCCTCAGGGGACAGAGTTCCCTGAGGCTTCTCACAAGTCAGGAAGGTTTACCAGCTCCACAACACTGGAGCCTTGAACACAAAGATCATGATTCAAGATGCCATGGCTCAATGCCTTAGACCCTGCCTGTATCTAGACTCCAAAGAGTAGATAAGGACTCAGAGAATATTTAGCAGCCAGTCACAGAATTACAATAATGGTAGAGCTCACTTAAGACAGCAGGAGAATGACACCTTACAACTACTGAGAAGTTAATGTGAAGCCACCCTACCTGACAGTCAATTAGACGTTCTGGTTTTTACCCTCTATGAAGTGCTGTCAGTTAAATTGTCTACAAATCTAGGAAAGTGAGAACAAAACAAGGTAGAAACAATTTCCCGATGCCTTTCTTCTCGAGGATTTTCTCGATGCTATTCCTTAAAGCAGATCATATGGGTTTTCCTCAAATGGGAATTTGTGAATTTAGACTTTATCATTTATCTGTGGCTCTTTCCCAGTTGTTTTCCATACTTTTTAGAGTGTAGAAATCAAAACCAGAGTGTGATAATCTACTTAGTATGATTCATTACCCTAGTACAAGGATTTCTTGCCCATCTGTCCAACATCAATATATCCCAGTATCCTATGTTGGTTTCTTCTTTCCTTTCAGGCTAATTCTAACTCCCAATTTCCCACTCCTTTTCCACAACTATTTCTGGGGGATGTTTTCTTTTGTCTCTTTAAATACTGTGAGTTGTAATTATCATTTATAAATTTATTACTGCTAAACAATCATTTTCTAATCATCAAAGCCATCAAACATTTGATGCACATCTCCATAAATCGTATGGCCACTTGATTAGGATGATTTGTAAAATTAATTACATGTTTTATTCACTCATTCTTGTCAGCAATACATTAAGCAGAAGGGGGCCCAGAGCAACTTATATAGATCAATGATGTATAGAGCTGCTTGGGTTGTCATACAGCTGGTGATTCTTGCTAGTCCTCATAATAAAGTATGGCAGTGTCTAAGCCACAGGTTTGTGGTTAGATTAATTCACAGCATGCATGTACATGGTATTTAGTAGCAGAGCAGTTTAGATTGTAAAGAGATGTGTACCCATGTCGACGAAGAAAGAGATTCACAGAGCTATGCAATCCTGAGGCAGCCAGACCCCCCGTAGGTTTGTGAGCCTGACATTTGGTAGGATCCTGACAATGGCTGTCCCAGACTTAGGCCGGTAGCCAGTGACACATGTGCCACTAAGCATTTGTGACAAAATAAAGAATGGAGTCCTGGATAGAGCCATACCCTTTCATAAACTTTTGAAAGTTTATGACCATATCCTTGATTTAAATTGTATGATGTTACTTTTCTATATAAACTCTTTTCAACTAAAATAAATAAATTTAACAGTACTATCATCCTTGCATATGGGCACAATATTTATTCTTTTCTCAATGTTAAGGGTTCCTTCTTCTTAAAAATAATGTCTAGCTTTAATGAAGTCTATCCATTTTAAAAGTGCCTTTCTAAATATGACTCAAGAAATATTAATACTGGAAGGACTTCAAGGTCCACATCACCTGATTTTCTTTGTTAAAATGAGAAAATTAATCACTGCCTAGGGATCTGATTTTTGTCTGAGCAAATTTGGGTTTTCAGAGTTCCATCTCAAAGGGGTTTACTTTGACTAATATTAAAAATTGACATATAAATGTAATTTAATATAGATGCATGCAAAGTGACTAAGGACCTAGTCTTCTCATTAGTTTTTATCATCTATGAAAAACAAATATTTCTTCTCTTTTCCTCAAATAAAACTCACTTTCAGCAGGTGTGGTGGTAGTATGTCTGTTTTCAGTTATATCTCTCTTGTAGGTTGTTTAATCAGATTACCTAATTCACTTGTACTATTGCTTCCATACAATTCAACTTTTGGATTTTAGTTTTACTGGGTTCTATTTGCCATATAGAAGTCTAGTGCAGATCTTACCTCTTGCTTAATTAAAAATTAGCTTTTCTCAAATGCTCAGCAGCATCACTAATCATTAGGGAAATGAAAATAACAAAAAAAGTAAAATCACAAGGAGATACAATGGTTTTTGTAAATAAAAAATAAAAAGGAAGGAAGGCAGAGAGAGAGGGCGAGGGAAGGAGTCAGGAGGCAAGGAAGGAAATACAGGTAAAAACTATTGGAGAGGATGACAAGAAAAAGGAACACTTATATAGTGTTAGTGGGAGTGTAAATAAAAATGTCTATTGTGGAAAATGGTATGAAGAATCTTCAAACAAATAAAAACAGAACTACCATTCTCACTTCTTGGTATATTTCTAAAGGAACTGAAATCTATATGTCAAAGGGATGTCAGCACTTCCATCTTCATTGCAGCGATACTTATGATAGCCAAAATATGGTGTCAACCTAGGTGTCCATCAATACATAAGTAAATAATGAAAATATGGTACTTTTACACAATACTATTTAACCTTAAAGTGGGGGGGGGAATCCTGTTACTTGGATAAAATTGAAGGACATTAAGCTAAATGAAATAAGCCAGGCACAGAAAGATAAACACTACAGGATCTCACTTAATATGACTTATATGTGGAATCTAACAAAGTTAAATTCATACAAGAGAGTAGAATCGTGGCTCCCAGAGTCTCCTGGGGAAAAGGGAAGATACTGGGGAGTTGTTGATGAAAGAGTAGAAAAAATAGGTTGAGATCGATAGCATAGCATGGTAACTACAATAATGTATATTTCAAAATAACTAAGAATAAATTTCAAATATCTCATCACAAAAATTGTAAGTAGATGAAGTGATGGCTATATTGATTAGATTGATTTAATTATTCCACATTGTATACACATATCAAAACATCAGGTTGTATATCTCTAAGTGTGTATAATTATGATTTGACAAAAATAACATTAATATTCTTAAAAACAGTTTTTCTCAAGTTCAAAACTTAGTCTACTGACCTCTCTCCTTTGTATTTAAAACTCAGTCAACTTTTCTCTATGACAAGAGTTGAAGAAAAGCAATGATTACTGTAGTTTCTTTTTATGGAAATTTCCTAGGTATTTATTAAAGATCTTATATCTGTTTGAGAGTAGAATTTTGTGGGTGATATCTAGGGAAATTACCATAATGGACAGACCTAAGGCTTTCTAAGTTGAGTGAGTCCACAAAGTAAGGAAGAAACAACTTGATTTAGCAAAAAGGTGATTCTTAGGAACATGAATCTGGATGTGTTTATTAAGGAAATTGTGTGTGCACTTAAGGTAAAAAGTAAATTCAGGGTCAAGAAAAAGTGTACCTTCCAAGAATACAATAAGGAGCTCGGAGCCTAATTTTAAGGAAACAAACAAACAAATTTTTGAGAATCTAGACACAAAACAGTTATGGCAAAGCAAGTTTTATTTAATTGATAGCAGGAGAGTCACAACCTCAAAGCCCAAAAAAGATGAAGTAAACTTAACAACAATTTCACACACCAAAGTTCTTCCTAACACAGCTGAAAACTGTTTTTCAAGGAAATAAAAAACTCGCTTATGCAAGAGAGTCTTCATCCAACAGGTATATACTCTCTATCATGAGTCAAGTCCCTTATCCAAACGTTTGCTAACTTATAATATCTTCTACACCAAGTACTATAGCAAGCATTACCCAAATGTGAAAGTTTACTCCAGGTGAGACAGATCTTCTCAAAATAGTACTTGGTTATATTCTCAGTGCTAGACTACTGAACGGCAGCTGAGGAAGAAATGACTTTACAAACCAGTTTGCCCACAGGACTTGCAAAGCTTATAATTCAAACTATGTCAGTCAGGATCTGACTCTCCTCATATCTACAACTTCTGAAGTTAATCCTGTCCAACAGTTGTTATAACCACCAGTGACTAGCTGACATCCAATCTAGCTGCTTTAGAGTGGACATTTGTTCATCCTGCAGGTTCCTGTCTCTCACCCAAGATCCTCAGTGAAATCAGGGAGTGAAAGGTAGAGGCATCTGTGCAGAGCACATAATTATGTTATGTGGAGCATGTAGGGAGCACTCAGAAGGAGCTGTACAAGCAAAAGAGGAGCAGTGTTGGTGCCAAAAGTAAAGGGAGAGGGTTAGTTATAGCTATAGCAACAAAAAGGTCATGACACTTGAAGATGTGAGGAATCTCAGACACCTATTCAGGTCCTCAAGAGCCAAAGACTGTGCCAAATTCACTAAGACTGAGGACTGCTCACATGTTATCTTCTTAGTGGTTTAATAGATATCCCCTTTTTCTTATGCCAAAGCTGAACAGGCAGATCCAGGAAACCTCCTTTTTCCTGGTGTTTCTAATAGTCCTAAAGGAAGGGATCACTGGAAGAGCTCAGCTGCTTTGCAGAAGGGTGTCTATCAATGATCCACTTCCTCTATAATGACTTAAGAGTCATGGACAGAGTTCTGTGACAGGATATTCAACTGTTAAAATGTCACTGGACCTGGTGGAGATACTGACGCATTCCAATGAATGCTATGGAATCACTATTGGTGACTTAATCTGAGGTCCAGGATGTTTACAACTGGGTTTGAGAACATGCGGATTACACCTTCTCTCATGGTGGTTGGAAATAGTGTTTCAGCCTTGGATACCAAATTCTGAGGCTCAGCAGCAGCTTGCTGTTGAAATCCCATTTGTTTGCCATTAACTTCTTCATGACCTAGGTAGTCTGTCAGGGTGCAAAGCAAAGTTCTCTTCTGCATGATAAGATTTCACTGAGAAAGATCTCTGCTTTGGAGACATTCCAGTCCTCTTGAAGTTTCTCACCATTGGCCCCAAGTAGGTCCAAAGCCCTGCTACCTCCCCTAGCAGCCCTTTGATGTCACCCTGTCTTCTGTGGTGTGTTTCAGTTACAAAAGCCCAAGAAGGGAAGAATCCATTGTCTTGTAAGCAAATTTTCTTCTTATGCTATAGCTACAGACAGTAAATAGGGACAGAAGTGGGTAGAAAGGGGCAGGAAGAAGAGAGAAATAGAGCAGAAGAAAGAAAGAGAAGTCGTGAAAACAAAATGGTGACATGGACAGAGAAACAAAGTAGGGATATGAGTTGGAGAGGGAACTGGCAAGTTCAGGGAAAACAGGAAGCAGATTGGGAAGTGGTTTATATAAAAGATGTCTTCTCACTCCAGGTGCACAAAGGCTGCAGGCAACCATCAAACCCCTGAAGGGCTGTGTACCTTCCACCCTGGGAGCCCCGGAGCCTGACACTGACTTACTTGCTGGTGGCTGTTATGTGCAGCCTCTTCCTCAATACTGTCAGTGAACTCAGTGCTTGCATCTTCGGTGTCATCCCCTGCAGCTGCACCTGGAAGTTAAGTCCAGAAAAGAAAGGTGATTCCCTCCACAGATGGCTTCCAGACAGCAGGTAGAATTACATTCTCTGCCATCACCTCTGATTTTTTCCTTTCCCCACATGCATGGCTCCCTAGCCATCAAGGAGGGCAGAACCAAGCCTTGTCCTTGCAATAGCAGGACTTTCTTACTGACACACAAAACAAACCAATTCTGAGTGCATACATCTATACCTGAGAAGCCGTCAGAGTAAATACTCCTCACCTGTTTCAAGAAAGCCTGAATTATTCCTCATCCTGATAATGTAACAACTTTCTTTTCTTAATGAGGGCCAAACATAAGTAACCTTTTCCCCCACCACTGAATGCTGGGAGGGTCCCTTCTTTCCTGGGGATCAGGGCTGCTCTGGTCCTCTCTTGGTGTTCATTGGAGGATCAGCTATGCATAGGGTAACAGTGTCTCTGAAGAACTCCTCTCTGGGGGTCCTGTGTCTCACAGAAGTTCAGGTCTAATCAAGATCTAAAGCATAGAATAGTTCAGGGGTTTCTAATTCCTGCCCCTCCTCCCCATCTCTGAAACTCTGTTCAGTGCCCAACATCCTTTGCCTGAGGGTTTCTTGCACTACTTCTTCCAAATGGGATTTAATCCATCCTCTTTCTCCAAATATGGACAAAGTCACAGTAGTGCGCTGATATCTATATCATGTTCCAAGGAAGAAGTAGCTGTAATTAGTGGTCTGGGCAGAGGTAAAGGGCAGTGATGACCAACAGAACTTTTTTCTATCATGGCAGTGCCTTGAGCCTCCACTGCCCACTAAATAGGTCCTAGTCACATGTGGCTATCAAGCCTTTGAAATGTGGCTAGTATGACTAAGGAACTGAATTCTTTTATCTTATTTAAATTAATTTATATTTAAATAGCTACATGTGGCTAGTAGCTGCTTTATTGGACAGCAAAAATCTAAGACATTTCTTCCTTTTTACATTGGTTAGAATAAAAGAATGTACAATTCTAGATCAAGAACTATAACCTACATTTTTTTCTCCACACCCACTGTGGTACTTTCTACACCTTACATAATTCTGCCCAAGGTCTACATCTGTAGAACTTGCTAAAGCACTTCAGGATCTACTTCTGAGCTCAGCAACAAGCTGTTAAAATCCTCTTCTAACCAGTGAATAACCTAGGCCTCAAAGAGATTAGGTGGCTTGTCCGAGGTTGTATAGTTGATCCTGACAAGAGCTATACCAATAAGTTGAGTATTTAGACTCTTAGGAATAATTCATTGTTCCTTCTAGTGACAAGTCAGATCTTTATCTTTACTTTCTCCTCCAAGACCCAAGAATCTATCCAAGACTTTATGTGAATAAGGAAAATTCCTTACCAGTGGTTACCCCTCACCTGTTCCAAGCAAGCCTGAATAATTTCTCATCCTGCAGATGAGCTGAGCAGGGGCAGTTAACATCTACATTTCATTTCTTGACATCTGCCAAGTTCATGACAGAATATTTGCAGTATCTCACTGATGTCATGGGGTACTAAGAGGTACAACATAGGAACAAGCGTATGTTCCTTGATCTTCACCATGAAAGCTGCCTTAACTTCAGACCAAGGCAGGATCACATTCGGTAAAGCCTTCCATAGGAAGCACCTCTGCCATTCAGCATCTTTAGATCCATGGCAGACAGTGTACATTAAGATTTTCCAACACTCACTCTTTCAATCCAGCCCCACTTAGGGTACTGGGGAGTAGGGGTGAATGAACATGTTCCCTAACTTTGGGCTGTTTTGGAAACTGACTGAAGTCGGGATGTTAATTCACCTGAGGACATACATATCATACTATGCTTGTTTGGGACAATCTTTCTGTACAACAGTGGAGATTACAATTTTTATTTTCTTCCTGCAAAGAAAATGAGTTGTTCCACTCAGTGACAGACTAAGAAAACATACTTTTCACATTGTCCCCTTATGAGAACAGAGGTACAGAGCAGTCCTGTGGGATAAGAAAGCTCAGATCTTTGAAAAGCCTCAGCCCTACACCATTTCTGGAGGGCTGTGTACCCATGCTAAGCCCACATCCCAAAATGATTCCAGTACTAGGTTCCAAGAATAAGCTCCATAGAGATTAGGACAGGTGACCATTGCTGATCTTGAAAGTTTTTATCTCACACTTTCTGTCCTCCACTTACCTTTCTGGGCCTCTCAGATGCCACGTTTGCATTTCTAGATAATTTCTCTTTAATTCATTGGGAGTGGACAGCATGCTTTGTCTCTGACTTAGATGGAAACAATGGAAGGATGCCTATCAAACCCCAACACACTACTGTATAGGGACTTTGTTTCTTTCCTTTTTATCTCCTCCACCTAATTTACAATCTGCTGTACTTTTTTGATGTCAGCTTTAGTTGCTTAACCATTTACCAACTTGAAGAACAAGGCCAACTTTGTGTGTCTGAAGGGCATAATAACGCTGAAAACATTTTGTATAAAAACATATGGTAGCAAAATGAGCTCACACAAGGTCCTATATAAGTGAACATTAGCAATCTCTTCATTACCATTACCATTTTTAAATAAACGAAACTGAAAGAACTCTTCTGTAGGAAAGCCTGTTTTCTAAGCTTTTATAAGGCAATAAAAGACTACCTTCAGAACCATCTTGGAATAGTTTAAATTTCTAATGTAAATGGATGGACCCAATAATTTTTGAACTGATGAATCTTCTTATTTTATTCTATTTTTTGTGGTACTGGGGTTTGAACTCTCAGCCTCATCCTTGCTAGGGAAGCACTCTACTACTTGAGTCAGGCACCCAGCCCTTCTGGCTTATTTTTTGATAAAATACAAAGTAAAATGGTCTGTCAACTCAAGATTCTCTGAAAGCAAAGAATCTGCTCACTCACAATTAACTTCCTTCTCTAAATTTTACATGCTAACATGAAAACATGACTGAAATTTTATCAAACACTTTCATGTGAGCCTTCAATGGAAGTTCTCAAATTGTAGTTCTTGGAGGTTCTAGGCTCTGAGCTACACAAAATAGAGGTGGTACCAAAATGCCCATTATTTAGATCTAGAAAATCATTTTCTACCAACTACCTGACTCTACAAAGTACATAGAAATAAGCCTCTAAAATATGATAGAATCCTTGAATGATATTTAAGCACTGTGTCAGCCAAAGATAGTCTTGACACTGAGACAAAAATTCATACCTTTGTAGAACTTTTAGTTGAAGATGGCATAATGATTAAGAACATGGTTTCCAGAGTCAGAATATCTGTTTTTGTCACTGGTTATGTGATCTTTCTGCAATACAGTTTCCTCACTTACTGGTTAGAATTAAGTGTTATCCACTCAGTGCACTTCTTGTGAACTTCAAAGTGTTTGTGGATTTGCAAGTGCTTATAACAGTGCTTGGCACAAGTACAAATCATACTCTTGAACAATAAGTATTAGTTTTCTATTATTATTGCTGATGAACTGAAGTAGTTCTTGGGCTGACAAAGCTGAAGGCCACAGAAACTACACATAGTCAACAATGGGAAGTTTTATACCCAATGTTATTAACTGGATGATCTTGACCTATTCTACCTGCACTTCTTCACTTCTGGATACCTGTTTCCCTCAGCAAGAGGCTTGAAATAAAACATTTTTGCTCTCCCTGTTTCACAGGAAAACTGAAAAAGCATAGCACTGTCCAGTGAAATAGGATGGATTATTCTGAAAAGGTGCCAAACAGGACTCATCACCATTAAATTATAAATGCCTCAAAACTCTACCATGTATGAAAAAGCATTATAGAACAATTCAGGGCATCATTTTAATTCTTAGTAATGAGTACAAACTGGGTGGAGGTAAGGTCATTTCCCCAAATTTTACTCTATAGTCATTATTATTTCTCCTTTAAGCCACCTATATGGAAAACAGCAAAGGGGCATTTTTTTCCACGTGGTTACTTAGAACCTAGCAGGGGTCCTATGTTATTAATGTGACAGAGTATTTGAAGAACTAAAGCCTCACAGTATAAAATTTGCAGTGCCAGGTGTTTTCTCCCTCAGTTCCAGGTCCTCGCTGGCCCATCTCACTTTCATTCCATGACACTCTACCATGTGCTCACTACCTTAACTCTCACATTTTCATGTCATGAGCCAACTTCTGCTGGCATGCTTAGTATTATGATGTTATGTGAGAATCAAAGAAAAAGGGTGCCTTATCAAACTGCAGTTTTACCTGCATCCACTCCTTTTAGGACCATGACAAAACTTTCAAGATTCTATATAGTTCTTCATAGCTTCTGGTGAGAAAATTATTTATCTGAACAGATGCTGGTCTTGGAACAGAAGTAGTAGAAAGCTGCTCTCTGTAGTCAAGTTCCTTTATGGTGTTCTTTTGTCTCAAATGGCAACATCTCTTAAGTAGCTTAGAGGACCATCCAGCATGAACACTAGTAAGCAACATTCCTAAATTATGACTGAAATCACTTTTCAGGGATGCAATCCCAACAGGATTTTTGGAAAGTTTCTACTTTTCCAAAGGATGATTATTCAAAAAACTAGTCACCTAAACTAACCAGGACTTGTATAAATTAGGACTGTCCTACACAGATCAGAAGATATGCCCATTATATCTATGCTGTAGTGTTATAATTCTGTAATGTCAAGGAATTCTTTCTGCTTATGTGCTATTTTCCTCAAGGATCACAAGAAGCAGACCTTTATAAGAACATTTAAAGAAATGGCACCACCCACCCACCATAGTAATAGGATCCTCAAATCTCTCCTGCTTTCTACTGCTCTCCTGCAGCAGGGACAGAAAGAAAGGACTTTAAAGGTAAAGTAGCCCATTTTACTTTTCTGGGGAAATGGCAAGTCTGTTTCTTTATTCTCATTTCTTTGGGAGGAAAAAAAGCTCAAGCTTCTTCTTCTTCCTTCTTTTAGTTAAATAAATACTCATTCCACAGAGCCTTACTTTGACTTGGAATTTTAGTACAATGATAAACAGAATAATTC